CTCCATCTGATGTTTCTCACACACACAAAACCAAGGCGCGGAGATTTTTAAATACGTGAAGAGTAGCTCCAAACAGGTGTTTTTCATGGAAGAAGCTTTTTACACCCATCTGTTCCCCAAACAGAGGGCCAACGCCATAGAGGGGGACTGTAAATTCTATGTTTTTTTTTTTTTTTTTTTCCAAGCCTGCAACTGTTGTCCTGAACTCAGGGAAGGTCAGGTCAGAGACACCGAATCAGCCTGAACCGGGTTGGGGGTGGGGACGCCTTAGTACCGAGCAAAGGCACCTGTGCACACGGAAGTTCAAGGCAAGGGCTCTACCACCATGCAGGCCATGCAGGAACGTGTGTGTTTCGGGACTGCTGCTTTATTGGCTTGACAAGGACTTTTCACTTCCCTCACCACTGCTAGCAAATTTGACAAATTGGAACCTGCTGAATTCTAGAAGCTTCCAAACTGGGTAACGTTTAGTTTCTTCCAAAAGCACTTTAGGATTTTTCCAATGCAAGCGTGCATGTTTTGAATTAGAAAGATATTAATTAAAATAAGAATAGAGTAAAAAAAAAATCCCTTTCTCCCAATCCTCCCAACTTATGAAGTAATTATTTATCACAATTAACGTAGAATACAATTCTTTTTCTGTGTGTTTATAAAGGCATTTTTTGTTGTTGTTTGTTTTGACAGGCAGAGTGGACAGTGAGAGAGAGAGAGACATAGAGAAAGGCCTTCCTTTTTGCCATTGGTTCATCCTCCAATGGCCGCTGCGGCTGGTGCACTGCAGCCAGTGCACCGCGCTGATCCGAAGGCAGGAGCCAGGTGCTTCTCCTGGTCTCCCATGGGGTGCAGGGCCCAAGTACTTGGGCCATCCTCCACTGCACTCCCTGGCCACAGCAGAGAGCTGGCCTGGAAGAGGGGCAACCGGGACAGAATCCGGCGCCCCGACCAGGACTAGAACCCGGTGGGCCGGCACCGCAAGGTGGAGGATTAGCCTAGTGAGCCACAGCGCCGGCCTTTAAAGGCATTTTAGATTTGGTACCATATAGTTTTTTTCAATTTCTTTTTAACTTGACTTTCCCCCTAAGGACGTGATAAAAATATTTTTTTTGAATTTACTTCACTTGCTGATAGGATTTGTCATTATTTAACTAGTCCCTTCACCCCCCAGGTGGCCAGGGCTGGGCCAAAGCCAGGAGCCAGGAGCCAGGAACTTCATCCAGTCTCCCACATGGCCCAAGCGCTCAGGCCATCTTCTGTTGTTTTCCCAGGTGCATTAGCAGGGAGCTGGATCGGAAGTGGAGCAGCTGGGACTCGAATCGGTACTGTATGGATGCTGGTGTCACAGGCTGCAGCTTCATGCCAGCCCCAAGAATCCCTTTGTGCACACTACCAACATAGAAATTACTGATTTTAGTAGCTTTTCTAGCTTGGGAAAAACGTTTATATATTTTTTAAAGATTTATTTATTTGTTTGAAAGTCAGAGTTACACAGAGGAGAGGCAGAGAGAGAGAGAGAGAGGTCCTCCATCTGATGGTTCACTCACAACTGGCTGCAACACCTGGAGCTGAGCTGATCAGAAGCCAGGAGCCAGGAGCTTCCTCCGGGTCTCCCATGCAGGTGCAGGGGCACAAGGAGTTGGGCCATCTTCCACTGCTTTCCCAGGCCATAGCAGAGAGCTGGAGAGGAAGTGGAGCAGCTGGGTCTCAAACCAGCACCCATATGGGATGCCGGCACTGCAGGCGACGGTTTTACCCACTATGCCACAGTGTTGCCCCTTGTTTATTGTTTTAATCTGTACACCTTTGATTAACAGTAAAATTGAGCACCTTTCATATAAATTGCCTATTTGGCTCTTCATTTTTTTTTTTTTTTTTGTATTTTCTCACTTGAATTATGTATTTAAATTTATTTAGAGAGAGACAAAGAAAGAGGCAGTATCTACTCACTGGTTCACTCCCCAAATACCCAATGACCAAGGCTGGGAACCCAGAATCCAAGTCTCTCATGTGGATGACAGAGACCCAACTACTTGAGCCACTACTTTTTGTTTTGTTTATAGCTCTTTATATTGCATATACTCTTTATCTTCTTAAAGAGATCTCCCATGTGCTGGTTCACTCCCCAAGTGCCTCAACTGTTTGGGCTGGCTCAGGCCAAAGCAAGAGCCTGGGACTCCATCCGGGTCTCTCACAAGGATTGGTAGAGTCTCAAGCACTTCACTGGCTACCTCCCATGGTACATATTAGTAGGAAGCTAGACTCAGGAGCCAAGGCAGGACTGGAGCTCAGGCCCTCCAATACGGGGTGTGGACATCCCAGGTGGCGCCTTAACCGCTAAGCCAAAAACCCTATCCCTCCTCTTTTGCACTTCTGTGAATTTGCTGAAGTTCTACCAATGGTGTCTACCATTTAAGTAACTTCCTGGATGGAACCATTTTTAACTTTACAATCAGATGTGTGTGTGTGTGTGTGTGTGTGTGTGTGTGAGGCTTTCTCCATTTCCCAGCAAGGCCTAAGGTTTTCCTCTTAGCGCTTTTATTGCCTTAACATGAGGTGAAGGTTTTAACTTCTTGAGGAATTATTTTTATGTGCATGTACTACTGTGACAGGCCCCTGGATGGCCCTAACTCACCCCTCAAATCCTGACATCCACACCCTCATGTAGCTCCCTCCTATACCATATACAGCTGGTACAGGAGATAAATGGAGCAGTTCTGGTCACTTCTAAAAGGTTTCTGAAGGTGCCTTCCTGTCCCTCCCATCACTCGGCCTGGAGAGCCGGCTGTTAAGTCCCCAGGACACACAGGCAGCTGGAGTGGAGGCTCAGGCTAAAGGGCACAGGGAAACAAGACGTGACAAAGGCTCATGAGCCAGCTGAGAAGCAGATCCTACAGCTGTCAGGTGACAGGAGCCCCAGCCACGTGCCTGGCTGAGGTCGGAGAGCTCTGAGCTAGAACCTGACCCACCAGTGCTGGGACACAGTCCCGTTCTGAGCCGTGCTGCTGTGGGTCGGGATGACCTGTTATGTAGCCAACGGATAACCAACTTAATGACCTTTCTAATTGGGACAGGATTTTAGGGAAGAAAGCAGACACTTGGCTTGGGCATTTCCCCACACTTCGCTTATCTCAGTCTCAAGTTCTGTTTGGGAGAAACGCTCTGTATTAGAAAATGGTAAGCAGGGTTCGTAACCGTCACAGTCGCAAGGAAGAAAGTAGATTTTCCAGATGGTTCTTCAACAGGAGTGCTATTTTTAGGGACACATTGGCTTCAACTGTGGACATTCATTCTCCACAAAGGGGAAAAAAATCTTCATCATAGGCAGCAGGTGTTTATCTCAGCCACCCACCGAGGCATCCACGTTCCATGGCTGAGCTTGGCTTGATCCCTGCCACCTGTGTGGGACACCCAGATTGCATCCCTGGCTCCTGGTGTCAGCCCCGGCCCATACCCGGCCACGGAGGATATCTGCAAAGTGAATCAACAGATGGGTGGCTCTCTCAAATTTTTAAGATCTCTGGGCTGGTGCTGTGGCATAGCGGGTAAAGCCACCACCTGCAGAGCGACATCCTATATGGGCATCGGTTCAAGTCCCGGCTGCTCCACTTCCAATCCAGGTCTCTGCTGTGGCCTGGGAAAGCAGTAGAAGATGGCCCAAGTTCTTGGGCCCCTATACCTGAGTGGGAGACCCAGAAGAAACTCCTGACTTCTGATCGGTGCAGCTCCAGCCGTTGCGGCCATTTGGAGAGTGAACCAGCATCTGGAAGACATCTCTCTCTCTGCCTCTCTGTAATTCTGTCTTTCAAATAAAATAAATGAATCCTTTAAAAAAAATCTCATAGGGGGCTGGCGTTGCAGTGTAGCAGGTAAAGCTGCCACCTATAACACTGGCATCCAATATGGGTGCCAGTCCAAGTCCCAGCTGCTCAACTTCTGATCAAGCGACCTCATCTGGGGGAGTAAGCCAGTGGATGGAAGATCTCTCTTCTTTCTCCGTCAAATAAAATAAAACCTTTAAAAAACTTATCATAAACTGGACATATTTTATCTTTAATACACTTCTGTCAACATATTAGAGATGCAGATTTAACTTGCTCAGTCTGTGGACTGTGCCTGCTGTGTATCCAAACAGGCAGTAAGCACTTGTCAATTCATTGATGAAATTTAGTTTTCAATTAAGAAACTCATTCATAGACACTCAATGATGTGATGACCATTTGACTTAATTCTATTTTTAGGAGGATGGAAAGGTAGACAGATAATGGAGACTGGCCATAGACTGGTGGCCTAGAAGAAATTAGACCTTGTCAGGGAATCCCACTCTGGAATTCTGCCTTGGTTTAGCTCCATGTCCTCAGCTCCAGGGAAGACTGGGAAGGAAACCAGCCTATGGAAGAGGGACACCCTCCAGCAGATCCATTTGAGGAACTGAGAGTTTGCTAAGTACCTAACAGTACCATAAAGGTCTTTAATCTAGGATTTTCTTTTTTCTAAAAGAAGGCAGTACAGTCAGGGGTTACAAGTTTCCTTCCTTTGAAAATTGCTATTTTACTTGAATGGCAGTGAGACAGAGGATCTTCCATCCACTGGTTCACTCCCCAGATACCTGCGATAACTGGGGCTGGACCTGACTAAAGCCTGGAGTTCGGAATTCAGTCAAGGTCTCCCAAAACAGTGGCGGGGACCCAAGTACTTGAGTTGTCACCTGCTGCCTCCCAGGTGCACAGCAGCAGGAAGCTGGAATTGGAAGTGGAGCCAGGAGACTCACCCTGAGCCCTGTTATGGGGTTGAAGGACACTTCATGCAGGGTCTTAACAGCTGCACCAATGCCCAGCCTGGTTCTGTGATTTTCAACCCCTGTTGCCCACAGTCATTCTCTCTGTATTGTCAAGGTAATGAAAACCAACATGGGAAGTATTGCAAGAATGGGATGGGAAAGCCATGTTTCACACGGAAATGCTGCCTGCAGCTAAAGAAAGAAAGGCCCTGAGTATAGGAGCCCAGATTTTTAAAAAGCCGTTTATTTTAAAAAACTGGTTTGTCCAATCACGTACACGAGCAGATACAACTACCAAAGTGGGCCTGTGACAGACACCAGGGGGCGCTCACCACACAGTACCTGAACGACACGGCTAAAAAAACAGGAGTGGCTGAGTGCTGAGCCGCGGCTCCCACTGGGCTCCCTGTTGGATGGCTTTGAGTTAGCATACGTGAGTGAGAGGTAGAGTCCCAAGTGTAACAGCTGATGCCTTAGGGCTCCATTGAAAAACAAAACAAAAACAACACCCATCCCCCTCTGCACAAGGGAAGCCTAGCCTATTTTTTTTTTCCTTCCTCTTCCCAAATCGTTCAGCACTCCCGATCAGCAAAGTGGCATGTGGTGACCTCGGTATTGTGCTGGGTGAACCATTTAGCTTTCTTCACCTTCTGATTCCGATTCTAGGAGAGAAGAGAGAAGAGAGAGAAGTCAGGTCTTTCTCCCACAAACTCTTTTATAGCAGGTCATGCAAGAGTTTTTCATCATCCCGTCTACCCCGTCATCACACACTCTTCTGCTAGGCATCGGGTCGGGTGTTGCACAGTCACCCGACAGGGTGGACAGCAAGCTTTGTCTTTGGGTCCTTTAAGAGCACCTCGCCTTGCTACAACAAGCACTCCTGTGTTCACTCTTAGTCAAGGGGCTAGAGATCTCTTATCCTGTCCACATTTGCTGATTAATTCTTCCTCACCATTCTCTCTCCATTAGAGTGGATGAGTTAAGAGTTTAAAAAAAAAAAAAAAAAAACAAACCACCATGGGGACATTGCTATTGGCCTGATTTCAGAAAGGAGAGCTAACATGTAAGAAATGCCGCAGACTGGAGACACCTCGAGAACTCTGAGTTCTAGAGGAGCCGGAAAAACCTACTGGGGACAGTTATCTTAAAGTCCCAGGACAACAAAGAGTTATCTTGTAGTCCCAGGACAACATAGATGCTGAATGCGCACCAGCCTTGTGAAACGGGCTCCTACCTTCTTCCGCGTTCTGCAACCACTCCACAAATTTCTTCATCTGGTCGAGGAAAACACTCTTGCCTTTGGCGACGTGCGCTTCTTTATACCACTTCAATATTGCTTCTTCGCTCAGGACATCCGCTGCAATTTTGAATCAGAGACAGAGAAAAGGCGCTACATCAGTGACCCAGGGCAACAACTCCTTGAGGGCAATCTCTCTGAGCTGGAAAATCCCTGGAGGCCACTTAGAAGGGGTCCCCATGCTCATCTCCATGCAGATGGCTGCTGTTTCCTACAGCTGGCCCAGGGCGTGCAGTACGGACGATGACGCAGAAATGTGCGTGTCCTCAGAGAGGACACGATGCGAGCCAAAATCGCTCACCCTGCCAAGTCACTGTCAGGAAGCAAGGTTACTCGCTAATTCTGCCCATGAATCGGCGATGCCAGTATTTCAGGGCACTCAGTGTCTTGCCAAGCCCAACTGGACCTTACTGAAGGAATGACCTCAAATGATGGCAATGAAAAAAAAATGTAGACAGGATGCAAGAATGGCATGAGCTTTTAAACGGGACCTTGTTGAGTACTGATTGCTATGCATATACCTCAAATTTATTTTCCTTTTTTTTTTAAAGATTTATTTTGCAAGAGCTATAGAGAAGGGGAGAGAGACGATCTTCCATCCACTGGTTCTCTCATGTGGATGAAAGGGCCCAGGTACTTGGGCCATCCTCTGTTGCTTTCCTAGGTGCATTAGCAGGGACTCTAGATCAGAAGTGGAGTGGGGAGGAAGAGGCGCATGGCGCACTGGGTTAATCCTCCGCCTGCAGCGCCAGTTCTACTCCCAGTTGCTCCTCTTCCAGTCCAGCTCTTTGTTGTGGCCTGGAATAGCAGTGGAGGATGGCCCAAGTCCTTGGGCCCCTGCACTCGCATGGGAGACCCAGAGGAAGCTCCTGGCTTCGGATTGGCACGGCTCTGGCCATTGCGGCCATTTGGGGAGTGAACCAATGGAAGGAGGACCTTTCTCTCTGTCTCTCTCTCTCTCTCTCACTGTCTGTAACTCTACCTGTCAAATAAATAAATAAAATCTTAAAAAAAAAAAAAAAAAAAAGTGGAGCAGCTGGGACTCAAACCGGCACCCCTATGGGATGCCGGCAGCGCAGGTGGAGGCCGTACCCGCAGCGCCACAGTGCTGGCCCCCATGATCTGTAACTTTTAAGATGTTTGTGATCAATGCTTTGAAAGCTGTTCAACAGTAAGACAATTTTGAGCTTGTGCAGCCTACGTCTGTAGGTTCCTTTTTTTTTTTTTTTTTTTTTTTTTACACAGGCAGAGTGGACAGTGAGAGAGAGACAGAGAGAAAGGTCTTCCTTTGCCGTTGGTTCACCCTCCAATGGCCGCCGCGGCTGGCGTGCCGCGCTGATCCGAAGCCAGGAGCCAGGTGTTTCTCCTGGTCTCCCATGGGGTGCAGGACCCTAGCACTTGGGCCATCCTCCACTGCACTCCCGGTCCACAGCAGAGAGCTGGCCTGGAAGAGGAGCTACCAGGACAGAATCCGGCGCCCCGACTTGGACTAGAACCCGGTGTGCCGGCACCGCTAGGTGGAGGATTAGCCTATTGAGCCGCGGCGCCGGCCCATCTGTAGGTTTTTATCAATTAAACACACTATTAGACTATCAGGATCAATGTTAGCAAACAAGAACAAGTTGAATTTAACAACGTGACAAGCACATAAAAGGGAGATTCTGTTTGGGGATGAGAACGAGCGCCGGTCTGACTGCAATTTAGAGACGCCTCGTCCTGCAGGTGGACTCGCTCTGGGCCACGGCTACAACGGGTGTCACTGACGGCATCTGTGGAAAGGCCACTGAAGGATGACAAAGCCGATCAAAGACACTCCCCTTTGGAAAGCGGATAAAAGACACAAAGTTGAAGTCTTGGGGGTGGGGGTTAAGAACCCAGTTGAGTAAAAGACTTGATGCGAGGCCAAATGTCCAGCTCCAGGGACTCAACAGTCAAGACAAGACGAAAGCCAGCGTGTGTGCAAAGCGAGCAGCTCAGCTTCTGTGGGGGAGAAGTCTAAGGAGCGGGCGGCCCCCTTCGAGGAAGGAAGGAGGAGGAGACTGCTCTCCTCCTAACGGTTCACTCCCCGAATGGCCACGAGAGCTGGGGCGGGGCCACCTTCTGTTGCTTCACAGGCACATTCACAGGGAGCTGGATCAGAAGCAGAGCAGCCGAGACTCGAGCCAGTGCTCGGATATGGGATGCGGGCGCTGCAGGTGGTGGCTTCACACACTGAGCTGCGATGCTGGCGCCGGGAGGCTTATCTCAGCCAGCGACTCGGTGACCCTGATGGTTTTCTCCAATAGCCCGACACTCAGGAAGTTAGGGACCGTGTTGTTCATGTCACCTCAAGCACTTAATCTCAGTCCTGCCGTACACCATGTACTCACTGCGTGCCTAATGGACACGTGTATTCACTCATTAACTTGAGGGGGGAAACCATTTTTCAAACTGTAGTGCTCTAACTTAAAAACCTAGGTGTTTACAAGGTCCAAGAGTAAACATTCTGAGAGTGCTTTGAGCAAGGCTGAGCTTCAAACACCATTAGTTATCTAAACAATGAGGCCCCAAACTATGGCACTGGAGCTTAGGACATTCAGAATTTTTTAAAAAAATTACAGATGTCACATAGGGACACACGTCAGAAATAATTTACCCTCAGAATGCCAAAAATATATACTGAGAAGGGCGCCGATCTTTTTTTAAAAAATAAGACTAAGGGATTCTTTTTAGAAAAATTTGCAGAGACAGAATTTAACCCAAGAAATTTCTGCAAACAAGAAAACCCAAGACAGGAATAATAACAGTATTTGAGAAGGTGGTTTTATACATTTTTAGACCCACATTCTGAGACTATGACATCTATCTTCAGGAATAAATTATTTTACGAAGTAAATAGCGTGATGTTTGCAAACTAAGGCTGGACTTAGTATGTTTTCTTCCTGCCTTAGAAAATAAGAATCCAGACTTTGATTCAGAAGGTGAATCTTTGCTAAATGGCCAATCACTAGTTTTGTTTTCTCCTCATTCATGGCCAACAGGTGTTATCTATAGTTTATTCCACTGCTTACTTACATAAAAGATCTAAAAATCTCTCAATAACGGCGTTCCATGTAGCATTTGGGTTTGTTAGAAGGGGAAAGGGTGTAATCACATCCCCCAAGTTTCTGTTACCATCCGTCTCTGGAAGTGCTGGGGAGAGAGTGTGTGCTCACGGGGGTTGCACAAGAGGGAGAGAGATGGAAAAGGGCCAAGAGTTTCCATCACATCTTTAAAAACCTCCACGTCACAAACCTTTCAAAGGAGAATGTTCCCTCCAATGAACAAAAGAAAATCCCTGTCACAGGCTAAAAACAGCAGAAAGGGTGCTGTACATCACTGGAAAAATGTGTGTGTGCGTCTGGACTGTGTGTGTGTGGGGGTGTGTATGACCCTGGATTGCATATGTGTGTGGGGGGGTGACCCTGGACTGCGTGTGGGGGTGGGGAGTGAGACCCTGGACTTTGTGTGTGTGGGGGCTTAGCCTGGACTGTGTGTGTGTGGGGTGTGACCCTGGACTGCATGTGTGTGGGGTGTGTGACCCTGGACTTCGGTGGGGGTATGACCCTGGACTGCATGGGGGAGTGACCCTGGACTGCATGGGGGAGGTGTGACCCTGAACATGCTGCTGCACCTCACAGGCCTTTGTCTCTTCTGGATCCTGGCGTGGTTGCAGCGTCACCAGGGAGCCCCCTACAATGCCCAGGCTTGGGGCCAGCCCTGGCCCTGCGGGATCAGAATCCAGGGTATCCACAGGTAGCTCTCCTAGATGACTCTTGTGTACAGAACAGGGAGAGGGAACCCAAAAGCTCAGTGCTCACTGTGCCTTGCTAGGCATGTGAAAACACAGAACAAGAATATCCAAATCCTTACAGAAAACAACCCAATCCATGCTTCCTGGCGCCCCAAATCAGGTCAAGGTAAAGAAAAAGAAAGGGTCAAAAAAAAAAAAAAACAAAAAACAAAAACAAAAACAAAAAAAACACCAAAACCAAAAACCAAAAACCAAGCACAGCTTCTACTCTAGAGTAGCATGGAAATAGCACTCAGTAGGATCTGATGCTCCCAAGAGAAATCACGTGAGTAATTTGTGAGTAATTCATTTAGGAAAACAGATTTTATGCGTAGGTACTGTGGACCATGAAATCACCCAGAGAATGGGATTTTTTTTTTTTTTTTTTTTTTGACAGGCAGAGTGGACAGTGAGAGAGAGAAACAGAGATAAAGGTCTTCCTTTGCCGTTGGTTCACCCCTCAAATGGCCGCCACGGCCGGCACATTGTGGCCGGAGCACTGAGTCCATCAGAAGCCAGGAGCCAAGTGCTTCTTCCTGGTCTCCCATGCGGATGCAGGGCCCAAGGACCTGGGCCATCCTCCACTGCAATCCCAGGCCACAGCAGAGAGCTGGACTGGAAGAGGAGCAACTGGGACAGAATCTGGCACCCCAACCGGGTCTAGAACCTGGGGTGCTGGTGCCGCAGGCCAAAGATTAGCCTAGTAAGCCACGGCGCTGGCTTCTGTTTCAGTTTTGTGTTTACGTGTGTGCTCCATTGCTCAAAGCCCTGGGCAAAGTGGTGAACAGCACTGCGGCCGGCGCACCACACTGATCCGAAGGCAGGAGCCAGGTGCTTCTCCTGGTCTCCCATAGGGTGCAGGGCCCAAGCACTTGGGCCATCCTCCACCGCACTCCCGGGCCACAGCAGAGAGCTGGCCGGGAAGAGGGGCAACTGAGACAGAATCCTGTGCCCCGACCGGGACTAGAACCCGGGGTGCCGGCACCGCAGGCGGAGGATTAGCCTAGTGAGCCGCGGCGCTGGCCGGGATTTGGTTTTGACACCTTAGTGATCCATATTTTAGTTTCTGGTTTTAAATAAGGTTTCCCGATTTAATTCCCCCAAAATAAGCCAGGATAAAACCTTCCTTCCTGAGTTCCCTGGGGCCTGCCCGTTCTTGCCACAGACCTTCCTAACTTTGGCTGAATAACCCAAGGGACAGTCAGCCTCAGGAAGAGCTAATACCTGTGTGTTTTTTGTTTTTTTAAATTTCTGGTGCCCACTTTTTGCAACTTCAGGTCACCGTCCCTTAGTATTTGAAGCTAAGTAGCCAGCTTTGCCACCTGCCAGTGGCTGTTACGAGAAGGTAACCAGGAAGGATGAAGGCATTAAAATGAGAAACTCCCCGCAAAACGAGACATTAGGAGGAGTCGAACAGTCCACGCGCCATGTAGGTGGCACTACTGACGAGTGGCTCATTGAGTGTTTTGTGAATGAATGAAGTCAAGGAAAGTGAAATGGGGCAGGGACCCCTGCAGCAGGCTCAGGTAGTGCTGTCTCGGGGGAAAGAGATACTGTGTTGGGTTATCCATCAAATGACGAGCGAGGAGACTGCTCGGGCAACTCGTTCCTAAACAACTGGCTTTTCTGTAGGGGACCCAACGGAACACTCTCAAAGTCTGTCCTCAGGTCCCCACTCTAAGTGGGAGGCCACTGTGGCTAATGCACCAGATCAGACCGGCACCTGCTGGGTGCCTGACCGGGGGCTGGCAGTGTGACGTGCAGGTTTGGCTCTGACGAATCACACTGGGCGTCCCATGGGAAGCCCACGTTCTAGAATACCGCTCCATCGGGGGGCCACATCTAAGACCTAACAAGGATCCAGGCAGAGAGAATCCTGTTACTGAGCTTCAAGTGAGAGCTGGTGGTCATTACCTTCTCCCACTGTCATAAATGTGGCCAAGACTTCAGCGCTCTTGCAAACGAAAACATCACCTCGTGGGAGACATGTCGCGATATACACACTTAGCCAAGAAAGGGAATGTCCGTCCACAGATGAGTGGACAGAGAAAATGTGGCTCTACTCAGCCGTCAAGAGCAGCCCTGCTGTGTGCAACAACAGGGAAGGAACCGGACAGCGTTAGGTCGAGAGGAATAAGTACGGAAAGCACTGCCTGCCCTTACTCATCGATGCGGAGTCTAAAAAGCAGGCGAGCTCACAGAATGACGAGGTTGGGAGGGAAGAGTCAATACTGATCTATGAGTACCCAGTTACAGAGAGACAGTAGTTCTAAGCTTCTGTTGCACAGTGAGGTGATTTTGAATAATGTCAATGTACTGTAACTTTGCATATTAAAAAAAAAAGCAAAACTATAAGATAGGATTTAAATTTTTTTTACCATAAAGAAATGTTAAATGTTTGATATGCTTACCCTGATTGGACATTACACACAAATTCAGGTATCTAAACATCATAGGACACCTTATAAATATATATAATTTATAGGACACCTTATAAATATGTATTTTTTAAAAATTAAAAAAAGCCATCCAAACACTTTGTTTAAAGAGTCTGAACAGACAACTAAAATCTGTGAAATGCTGCTAGGCATTTTGAAAATGGTTAATCATCAGTAATGCAAAATTTTAACACTCCAAATTCCCATGTCATTTTAAAAAAAGACAAAGGGAAAATAACAATTTGCTTGATGTTTTCCCTGGATTTTTCTGATATGCCACGTGTGATGGGAGTCACTTCCGGTACACATGTTGTCATGCACCAAGCGTCATCCCTTCGTGAGGGTCTCTGGTTTTCCTTGTGTGCAGGGTCATGCTTTGTATGCTGTGGGTATGCAGACTGAGATCAGTGAAAACCTCCGGCACTCAATTTTTTTTTTCCCCTAGTGCTGGTTGCCATGGCAACCTAACCCTTACAAATACAATGAAAAGACAGTAAAATGTGAGACTCTAAAAATAGCAAACAGGAGACCAGCCGGGCCCAATCACTAGCCATGCAAAGTGAAAAGACACATCGTTTCCGTCTTTTTAATGTCGGCCTTACGGCACCAACAAGGGCCTGAGCGTGGCGTGTTCACACTCATCACGAGAGCTCATCCTGCCAGTTCCAGACCTGGCTGCCTCAGTGTACCCCCCCCCCCCCCCCAAGAAACAGTAACCAGCCGTAAGTTCTCCATCAGCAGGAGCAGTTCCGCAGGTGATACCCGGGAGTCCTCCTTCTCTCTCTACCCTGTGGTAGTCCCTCCACAACTTGCACCAGTTAGCAACCTGGCTGTCCCCCAAGGAATCGCCTGGCTCCCTCTCCCCTGCCGCTGTACTCTCAAAGCACAGGCACGTGGCTGGGGCCCCCGGGGCAGATTACCTTTGTAAAAGAGAACCACGATCTTCTGAAAGGCTTTCATGAAGTGGATGTTGTCATAGCAGTACTCCTGCACCTTCTGCAGCAGGGCCAGCTCCGACTGGCCCTGGGAGCTGAACACGGCCAGGAGTGGGGCGTATTGCTGGAACAGGAGCGGAAGGAAGCCCGTTACTTGTGCGGGAGGACGGGGCCGGGGTCTAGGGGGCCCTGGCACTCGCCTGCAGGCCTGCTTGGAGAACGTCTGCTTACAGCGTTATGCACTTTATGATCAGAATGAGCTCTTTTCCTAATCGGACTTCACCTGTCATCCATACTTGCTCAAAGAGGAGACCGGATGTGAGACTGTCTCTACCCAAGGGGACTGCTGTGCCTGCGGTGCCCCCTGGGTACTGTGGAAGTGAGTGCTTGTCCTCCCACACCACCCACCGCGTTCCTGGAGTGGGCACTGCCTCGGACACTCAGGACACAGCGTCTCCAGGTGCCCAGACCCTCACAGGTCACGACACGCTCCATCCCTATTGTCCTTGGCTTTGGATGTCCTTTGCTTTCTTCCAGGGAGGCTTCCTAGATCTACTGTACCAGCAAGTGCTCCTCACTGTCCGCTCTCATAACCACTGCATGTGTCTGCCTTTGTCTTCTCAACTCCAATGTAAGCCCTGAAGGCAGAACAGAAGTCTTCCGGCTACGTTAATACAGTTTATGGGGAGAAGATGTACGCATCCACGCACGAACGTTTTACACGAGTGACACAACCAGTTCATTCCTTCAATCCTCAGATACTTTACAGATTCCAGTGTTAACTCACGGTTTAGAAAATTATTCAACAGTGAGTTTTCCTCATGTCAAACAGAAATAAAGTCAATTGGTAGACGATACTTCTCTCTTACTGTTTAGGTCCTTACTTGATGATTCTATGGACTTTTTGATATGATTTTTAATAAGAACTCACCCTTAGATATTTCATAAGCTCTTATATCTGAAACATTTTAGGCAGTGGCAAATTCAAAAGATTAGGAAGTGTTTGTTTACCCAAGTCTGAGAAAATTTCAGTTGGGACCTATTAGTTCTATAACCCCCCCTTATTTTTTGAGTGACACAGAGAGAGAAAGAGCAAGGTTCCACCCACTGGTTCACCCCCCAAATGCTCACAACAGCAACAGCCTTGGCTGGAGCCAGGAGCCGGGAACCCAACCATGAGAGCCCTATCCACTGCCTCCCAGGGTTTGCATTAGCAGGAAGCTGGAGTCAGGAGCTGGAAATCAGGAACTGAAACCCAGGTGCTGTGCTATGGGCCATGGGCGTCCTTAGTGCTAGGCTAAATGCCCACCCCCGCTGTATCGCAGGGGTGCGGGTGGCCTGGCTGGATGTCCCTGTAGCTGGTGCGGGTGGCCTGGCCAGATGTCCCTTGCAGGTGCGGGTGGCCTGGCCGGTCCCTTCCCTTGTGGCCCCTTTACCTTCAGGTGCTTGAGCGCCTGCTCTGCGACCAGTTCCTCCTTCTTGTTCCACTCCACGGCATTCATGATGCAAGTCCACAGGAGCCCGATCACGGCTGTTTCTGGAAGGTCATTCCTCTTCATTTCTTCTTTGACATAAAGCACCACCTGCATGCCGTGGGGGAGGGGTCAGAAATCGGGAGATAGGTGGATGGAGTGAGGCCCCCACCCCTACCCACCATGGCCCGGCCAGCGAGAGGTTCAGGGCACATAAACCTCAACCACAAAATACCTCGGGCATTCTACTGTGTGGATAGCAGTAGAACAAGCTTTTTGCTTTGCCCCTCCTCCTTGAGTGGAAGCACCGCCTTCCTTGAGCTGGCCTGGCTCACTGACTGCCAGCAGGTAGCTGTCCCTAATCCCCTGAGCGGTGTTGGGGAAGCTACAAAGAAGGAGACAGCCCTGCCTCTAAAAGCATCCCAGGTTTTTTGATTTCCACCCTGTCCTGTGCAAAATCACACACAGTTTTCTTGCTTGAAGAAGAAACATCACTGCCACTTGCTAACCTTATTGCTACGTGGTTTGAGTCTTTGTGGCTTCAACACCTCCCTCTGCTGGTGGATATCAGTCTGAAATTCTCCAGCCTTAAACCACCTGAGCAGCTCTGCAGGGCAGGCGGGGAGGGATTTAGGAATAAGCGGCAACAGCAAAGGACTCCTTGATTTAATTAATCGGATATTTGCTTCGGGGCATATTAAAGAAAAAACGACAGTCGCAGCTCTATGAACTAGCACTGTCCAGACCAGGTGCATGCAACATACTCATCAAAAATGTGGTTTTCAGTTTTGAGGATGCACAGCTGTTGTGACCTCACCAGCCTTCTCCTATGGTGTACACTTGAAACGTTTCTTCTTCAGATAAAAAGCTTAGATAGTCAGACTACAAGCAACACCAGCCAAAATGCTGCGCCGTCTTAGACGATATACAAAACCGGAAACCCCTGGGCGCCCTGACAGCGGGCAGGGATATCCAGATATGATATTTTGGCTGTGCCGTGTGCCGAGGCCGATACCACTCGTTTCTGGAAGTCCCTACAGTGCCACACAATGGAGGGTTCTGAATCAACGCCTTGGCACCGAGTTAACTTCGATGGTGGAGTTTCCAGCGGTCCACCAGGGTGGTGCCCACAGGGCAGGAGAGCAGGTGCCTGGCCCTGGGGTTTCTGGAGCGGGTGGCCAGCAGCTCCCACCTCCTTGATGGGGCACTCCTGAGAGAGACGCTCCTGGAGTTCCTTCTGCAGCTCCTTCCTGGTGCCCAGGGACTGCTGCACGCGGAGGAAGTCGGACAGCTCCTTTAGCCCCGCGTCCGTGAAGTACTTTGCAAAATGATCCACGCTCTGCCGGTTAACGGGAAAGAGCTCCTGTGGCGGAAAGACAGAGAAGAGACTGTGACCCGGCAGACAGACAGCTTGTGGCGGGCACGGAGGACAAGAATTTCCATTTCCCTCAGAGCGAACAACTTCTGAAATCGGGCACTTTCGCAAAGGAAGAGAAAAACGCTAAGCAACTTCGGCCAAACTAGCCTCACTCACTCCAAATCACTTATTTTCTTAACCGAATTTGCTGGCTAAAATGCAAAGGGGAAACTCTCGACGTTTGGATTGTTTCAAACTGACAAGGGAGGAGAAAGGAAAACTGTCAGCCATGCTGTTTCCTTAGCTGTGAGTTTAACAGAAGTCAGTTTTAGTCATGCTTAAGACGAGTGATAATTCCACAGATAATACCACAGCACGGACGGGGCCGGCACTGCGGCACAGTGGGCGAAGCCGCAGCCTGCAGAGCTGGTATCCCATATGGGCACCAGTTAAAGTCCTGGATGCTCCACTTCCGATCCAGCTCTCTGCTATGGCCTGGAAAAGCAGTGGAAGATGGCCCAAGTCCTTGGGCCCTTGCACCTGCGTGGGAGACCTGGAAGAAGTCCTGGCTCCTGGCTTTGGATCAGCCCAGCTTGGGCCACTGTTGGTATTTGGGGCGTGAACCAGCAGATGAAGACCTCTCTTTCTGCCTCTGTCTCTCTGTAACTCTGCCTTTCAAATAAATAAATCTTAAAAAAAAAAAAATGAAAAAACCAGGGACTATTATCATCTCAAGAATGACCTTTTACCTTGCGAGAAAATGTTGCAGCTTTCTGGAAACATGATGGGGGCAGTGCCTAATCAAGTTCACGGGAAGACTGGATGTAAACCCACCCAGCTGTTTCCTTGGTTGATTGTGTAATTCCGATGGAAACTTTGAGAGCCATCCTCCATGGCTGCTCTCCTATGTTTCACCTCATTTCCACGTTGCCCCTCTACAGCTTGGCAAAGCCCCAGCAACACTTAGTCATAATCTGATCTTGTGTGAGTTCAACTCCCAACTATGACAGTCAAACAAATTTCAAAGTTCTTACTTTTTTTTCAAACAGCTGCAGAATCTAAAACAAAAGATCCAACCTCCGATGTGGCTTAGCTTTGCACATACACGGCTGGTGCTATGTGGGGCCACCGCAAGCCCAAGCAGAGAGCTCTGTCGTGGGTTTGCCACGGCACACAGCAGCACAGCAGTGGCCTCTGTGTCGGCACTGAAATCTCAGTGTTCTCTGCTGTGTCATCAGGCTCTAACTGCCTGTGTTGAGTCCTACGTTTCAAAAAGGCAGGACACGGGGGCCGGCGCTGTGGTGCAGCAGGTTAAACTGACACCTGTGATGTCGGCATCCTTTTATCAGAGCGTTGGCTTCCAACCCAGCTTCCTGCTAATGTGTCTGGGAAAGCAGAGGAAGACGGCCCAAGTGCTTGGGTCCTGCACCCAAGTGGGAGACCTGGATGGAGTTTCTGGCTTTGGCCTGGCCCAGCCCTGGTCATTTGAAAAATGAACCAGCAGATGGAAACTTGCTCATTCTCTCTCTTTCACTGTGCCTTTCACATAAATAAAACAAATGTCAGGACGCAGGTGGAAGGAACAGCTGTCAAACATGCATTCAGGCAGCCAGTAATGTGTACGGACAGGGCTGTGCGGCCCTACAGCCAGCGCTCACTACAGCCCTCTGCACCGGCTGGCACGCAGTGTTCTATTTAGGAAAGAGTGTGACCGAGTGGTCCAATCTCAAGTCACGCTCACAGTATGTATGTTATCAAACACACCGCTCATAGTTTATTTCCAAAGTCCTTATTACCAGTATAAAAATATATTGGCCAGCGCCGCGGCTCACTAGGCTAATCCTCCGCCTTGCGGCGCCGGCACACCGGGTTCTAGTCCCGGTCGAGGCGCCTGATTCTGTCCCGGTTGCCCCTCTTCCAGGCCAGCTCTCTGCTGTGGCCAGGGAGTGCAGTGGAGGATGGCCCAAGTGCTTGGGCCCTGCACCCCATGGGAGACCAGGAGAAGCACCTGGCTCCTGCCTTCGGATCAGCGTGGTGCGCCGGCTACGGCGGCCATTGGAGGGTGAACCAATGGCAAAGGAAGACCTTTCTCTCTGTCTCTCTCTCTCTCACTGTCCACTCTGCCTGTCAAAAAAAAAAAAAAAAAAAAATATATATATATTGAACATTATCGCTCAGATTGAACTGGTGCGAAGCCAGTCTTAAATCACACGGGGCCATTCCCCGCTTAGGACAGGATTTGCATTTGTCAGCCATGGACATCTCTGTCCTCTCATCCCCAGACTTGGCCTCTCTGATTCTGCCCTTGCTCCCTAGGCCATTGTCAGGGTGGTCCTGCTGTGCACCAGCTCTGCCAAGAATGTTCCCGAGGCTTCCAACTTCGTTTGGAATAAAACCATAGGTGCTAAGTGATAGGGGCCCTGATACTGCTGAGCGGATGCCCCACACTTTTACCCAGCTCTCTCCCCACCACGGCCCCAACACGCCATGCCTCCAGGCCGTTGTACCTTCTGTTCCTTTTGCCTGCAACACTGTTCCTCGAGGCACCTGCTCCCTCTCTCCCCTCCGCCAAGCCTTCACACAAACACCACCGAGTCACGGAGACCAGCCCAGACCAGTGAAAAACGCATCCCACGTGCTCCTGCTCTCATGGTTCCCTACTTGATTTTTTCCCATAGCACTTCCTACTTTTTATCATAATACACGTCTTCCTTGTTTATCTAGTTGATCATCCATTCCTGAGAATTAGAATGTGAGCCCCTCGGGGCTGGCACCATGGCGCAGTAGGTTAATCCTCTGCCTGTGGCACTGGCATCCCATATGGGTGCCAGTTCAAGTCCTGGCTGTTCCGCTTCCAATCCAGCTCTCTGCCACGGCCTGGGATAGCAGTATACGATGGCCCAAGTCCTTAGGCCCCTGCACCTGCGTGGGAGACCTGGAAGACGCTCCTGGCTCCTGGCTTTGGATGGGCCCAGCTCTGGGTTGTTGTGGCCATTTCGGGAGTGAACCAGAGGATGGAAGACCACTCTCTGCCTCTGCCTCTGTTACTCTGCCTTTCAAATAAATAATTAAAAAAAAAAAAAAAAAAAGACAATTTGGACACACATGTTCAGGAAACAAACATTTCTCCCTGGAGAGTGAAACTGCTGCTCCCGTTCCTCCTTCGTGTGCTCACCCAACAACTCTTGGCGCAGGCAGAGCCCAGCGCACAGACAATTCCTGCCCTCACGCAGCAGATGGCGCTGCTGGCACCAACCACCCATGAGTCTCACTCCCAACACACAGAAGCCTGCCGAGAACGGCCACGTGTTTTTTTTTTTTCCTTTAAACAAAGTGAAGTGACTTAAACTCAGCAGGCCCCACCTGCTCTCCCTCAGGGGAGCATCCAAGGCCCCCTCCTCCTTGCTATGCATACTGTCTGCAGGAGCTGGGAGCAGTCAGGAGGAGGGGCTGGGTTTGCCGCCTCGCTGCCAGGCGTGCCAATGACCTTAGTTTTGGATGTGCCTAAGGAGTTCACAGTGCTGTGGCCCTGTCCTCTGTCGCCAAAACAGAATGGCCCAGCTGGGAGCTGCTCCTTGAGCCAGAGCCCCAGGGTGAAAAGCCACCAACTAGGGCAGGCGTAGGACCAGAAGCCAGATCCCTCCCCACCAGGGTATGTGGTTTTGGAATCTGCCCTAAGGCCTCTGGATAGGGGCTTCGGGGACCTCCCCTGGCAGGAAATATTTGCTGAATGCAAATCACAATCACCCACACAAAGGAACTAGAATTCAGGCTTCATTTTCTTTGTCACAATCTGAAGACTGAAGTGACATAAACAGGATTACTGCAGGGTGGTTTTCAGGAGACAAAGGGATTTTAAGTGACTGAAAATGCCAAGCCAAGTGTTTATAGTTAAAATTATTTCCAGGGACAGTTCTAGAATTAGCCCAACTTTGTACAATAGGAGAGAAAAAGGGGAGAGATGCTGTGAGAGGGAGGTGGTGGGGTGCGTGGTGTCTTAAGAGTTCGTCCTGGAACTGCAACAGAGCCATTACACTCAGAGCAAGCTTTGACGACTACACAGCTGTCACTTCTACCAGAAAAGGGTTCCAAGTGAGTAGTCAGAAATGATAAGAACAAATTACTTTCCTTGGTTTTCTTTGAAAAATTCAAAGATGGCAAGACACAAAAGTCCCCATAAAGGAATGCAAACAATGGAAGCGTTGCCTGAACAGTGAACTTGTTTGCTCTCTTCAAACAGCTTAAGTATTTCTAGAGAAATCTAGGTGAAACTTCTAGAAACTCCTATTTTGTCGGTAAAGTCTTTCACCATCAGTTTGGGGGTCAGTGCTAACGCCTGCCCAGGACACCGTAAGTAATCTAATTAGGTGAGGCTGATGGGATTTTTATCATGTTAACAGCTTAAGTTTCTACAAAGTCACTGACTGGTTACAACGCCAAGTTTTAGTTCTGCTAGAATATTCAGCGTGCCAACGACAGCTCCCAGGTTTAGAAGTGTCTCCTAGTCACTGGGAGCTTTCAGTTTATCATGCCGCTGGTTCACTTGAGAAAGGAGGATGGAGTTAGTTTCTATTTACCATTCTCACAGCAAATCCACTCAGCCCAGGGCCCTCGCAAGGAACCCCACCACCAACCCCCACCCAGAAGCAGGGTGCCCGCGATACCCTGAGCAGAAGGCACTCACAAGCAGCCTCTTGTCTAGGTTGGCTTTTCTCAAGGAAGAGGTGACAGAGTTGGCATCTTTCTCTGCCATCCAGGCTTTGAAAAGCTTGACAGCAAATGAGGCCGCAATGCCTGCAGAAACAAAACACAGGATTTCATTCATCTCCTGAGCAGGTCCGCGAGCTTCCCTGAGATGGGCAAATAACTGAAGCCTCGACTGGGGACAATGGGAAAATAAAGCTGAAAATATTCCTGGATCCACGCCTTGCTACCTGATTACAACTGGGAATTTATTTTCTTTCTTTTCTTTCTTTTCTTTTTTTTTTTTTTTTTTTTTTTTTTTTGTTTGACAGGTAGAGTTATAGACAGTGAGAGAGAGACAGAGAGAAAGGTCTTCCTTCCGTTGGTTCACTCCCCTAATGGCCGCTACGGCCAGCGCTTCGCCGATCCGAAGGCAGGAGCCAGGTGCCTCCTCCTGGTCTCTTGTGCGGGTGCAGGGCCCAAGCACTTGGGCCATCCTCCACTGCCCTCCCGGGCCACAGCAGAGAGCTGAACTGGAAGAGGAGTAACCGGGTCTAGAACCCGGGGTGCCGGTGCCGCAGGCAGAGGATCAGCCAAGTGAGCAACAGTGCCGGCTGAACTTATTTTCAGAACCAGCATTGTAGCATAGCAGGTAAGGCAGCTGCCTGTGACGCCGGCAACCCATATGGGTGCTGGTCCAAGTTCCAACTGCTCCCTGCTGATGGCCTGGGAAAGCAGTGGAGGATGGCCCAAGTGCCTGGGTCCCTGCACCCAAGTGGGAGACCTAGAAGAGGTTCCTGGCTTCTGGTTTTGGCCTGGCCCAGCTTTGGCCATTGCGGCCATTTGGGGAGTGAACCAGTAGATGGAAGATCTCTCTCTGTGTCTCCCTCCCTCTAACTCTGCCTTTCAAGTAAATAAAATAAACCTTCAAAAAAATTATTTACTTTTATCTTGATCAAAAACCTTTTTAAAGCCCAGTGTCTTCAGTGGTCCCACCTGTTTCCCTCTGTGCTTCATTAGTGTTTCCTATTTAAAGCAGGGGTTGTGAAGCTCAATAAAGTAAACCACATCCCGTGAGTGCTGGGTTCAAGTCCTGTCTGTAACTTCTGATCCAGATCCCTGCTAACGCCTCTGAGAAGGCAGCTGATGATGGCCCAAGCACTTGGGCCCCTGCCACCCTGGCTGTTGCCATTTGGGGAGTGACCTGGCGGATGGAAGATTCTCTCTGCCTTTCAAGTAACTAAATCTTAAAAAACAAACAAACAAAAAATTAACAGTGACCACTAAGTACAGCTACAGATGAACACGCATCATATACTTTACAATATTCCTTTTTGTAAAAGAGAATTTAAAAATACCCTTAAGCTATACTAAGGCTATTCCAAGCCAAATATTTTTTCCTGGATTTTTAAAAGTAGTTATGAAGATAGTTATATTAATTAGAAAACTATTGCATCACATATCCCCATTTATATTATTGATTTATTTTCAAATACAAAGATTCAGGATCTGTGGACATCTCAAAGTCTATGTTTATGTTGCATTTCTTTGGTGAAGAGTTAAGGCATGGACGAAATGTTCAGCTGGTTTTTCTGAACTGAAGGTTCCACTTTGAGCTGGAGCTGAGGCCATGAATGACACTGGGGGAAAATACGAGGCCCGAGTGATATTTCTGTTTGTGCTGCTTCTATATTTATTGCTACATCGGAAATAAATGCCCTCATCTTCCAGCTATGTGCAAGTAAAGGCATCGGACTGATCCGCTACTGATAGAGACGTCAACTCTGGCAGATTTCCTTCACTTGAATAAACAGGGAAACTAGGAGAAAAAAAAATCATGGCCGTGACAATCAAATATGCATTATAAGCTGGAGTCTTTTACGATAACTACTTGTTAACATAGATTTTTTAAAAACAGTATCATTAGTTTATTAAATCAATATAAAATTTAAACTTATGTAACTAAATGAAAATCAAATTAACACCATTCTGTAATCTTTATTAAAGTAAGAAAAGTAAAGTGTGCTAGAAAGTGGGAGTTTAAAAATCTACATTTCAACCAAACTACTCCTTTGCATTAAAAATGTCTCATAGTGGAAAGCTGGTTCATTCCACACAGTGGGACGATGCTATTTTCTTGGCCATTTGTTGGGTACGAGGTTGGGGAAAGACAGTTTCCTGATGCTCTTCCAAGCAGGAAGCAAGCAGTTAAACCTCTGGTTTCTAAAGAAGGTGCACTATATGGAAGACCTGCATGATACCAGTGCCGTGTTCCTCTCATAGCAGATCTTCTTCTTGTCTTCCCACCTAAGGTTTTACTATAGAAATTCTCAGACATTGAAAAGCTGAGCCAATCGCATGCTACCTAAAATCTGTTAGCTGTCAATATTTTGCTCTATTTGCTATACTACATACAATAATTTATTTAGAATATTTGCTTTATTTATAACATCTATAAATACAATTTATTTAGAATATTTGCTTTCCTACATCTAATGACTGCACTTCTAGATACATGTGAAAGGAAGCTGCAGATGTCACAAGATTTTAGTGCAAGCTCAGAGGCAAGTATTTTCTGTTATGATTGCTGGGATCGTTCACTATAATTAACATTTAATGTTTATACCCCATCTTGTGTCTCTGTGTGTAACATGGCTAGCGACAGATGTGTGACACATGGTGAATTGTCTTCAGGAACACTTTCAACAGCAATATTAACAACATACCAGCAACAGAGTCCAGACTGTCATTACGTCTACACTATTTTAAGTCAAAAAGCTATAGAGGATTTCTGAATACCCTTTGTTTCTTGATTCACAATTCTTTACTTAGTCACGAGAAAACCATAAGCTCTTTCATTACAGGCATGAACAAGGCTAGGACCTGACACACGTAGGAGGAAAACTCTTCATGTTCTCAAGGAAAAAAAAAAGATGGTCTCACAAAAGGCCTTTTAATTTTATTTTTAAGGAAAAATAATGCTTTGTGTTGCATTATAATTGGAAAATTATTACCTTCATAGAAGAAAACAGGCCACTTTTGTTTTATTCTATAACCAAATCATTGCTTGCATGGTTGTCAAACTCTAGATGGCTTGGAATTACAAGGGGGCTGGCTCTTTGTGATGCAGGCGCCCTGCCTCCATTCGGAAACCCTCCCATCTCTAAAGTGACATCCGAGAAAAAGGTCTCCCCGGACCCCCAAGCAAACAGCTGAGAAAGGGGGGTCCTGTTAGGGGGAGGAGGCACTGTTTGGGAGGAGCCCTGTTTGGGCTGGTACAGCACATAAAAGAAAAGCGCTACCGGTTGACATTTTGTGTCCAAGGACAGACAAAAAGGTTAAGTGTCCCTGGAAGCAGAAAACGGCCCTACACGATGAAGCATCGCCCCAACACAGCGGGACAGAGCAATGGTCTGGACCAGCTCAACCCGAACTCCACACTGAGTATCCACAGCTGCCACTCTAACTTGCTGGTAGCCTTTAAATGTCTCTGTGCAGGTGTGTGCGGTTTCCTACACACTCCTCCTTTCATTACTGGAGGGACTATTCATGAGGGTACTTCCAAAGAGCTCACGGAGAATGGACAGGAAAGAGCGGCTCATTTCGGTGGCGGACACTTGAATGCATGTGTCTTTTCTCCCGGGAGCTCTCTGAAGCACCCCCTCCCACACGCAGGGATTCTGTTGCTGTGCAGGAGCCCCTGGTGGTCTCCCAGCGACTGCTGGCTCTTGTTGTTGTTATTGGTTTTTTTTTTTTTTTTTTTTTTTTTTTTTTTTTTTTGCAAAATTACCTTCTTTGACCAAGCTGTCGGTGAAGAGGCTAGTGAGGATGCTGGCTGGAAGGGTTCCGTTGCCCAGCAGGATCCCGGAGAGCATCGCCAGTTTTGTCTGCTCCGTTTCAGAAAAGGCTTTAAGGAAGAGGAGAAGCTGCGGGTCAAACAAAAGAAACCGTGTGTAGCAAGCATGGGACTCCAGTCGGGGAACAGCAAGCCAGCCATCCGCCGGTGGTGAGATGCTGTGCGGACACGCGGGCACAGGCGAAGCAGGGCTACCCCTCACTGGGAACACACATGGAAAGGGGCTTCAGGAAGTCCACGGAGGACCCGTATTATGAAAAGCCTATGCCGGAATCTCGAGAATATTTTGCGCTAGAATCAACTTGTTTTTGATCTTCCCACAAGCTCTTTGAAGTCACCAATGGGATATGGAAAGGACCCTTACCAGACACATCTTTCTTCTGAGTTTGCTCACACACAGCCATGGATACTACTCATGGGAACAAAGTGACATGTGGCACCGTGTACATACAAAATTTGCATATAGGGGCCGGCTTGGTGGTGCAGCAGGTTAAAGTTTCCACTTGCAAGGCCAGTCATCCCAACAGGATAATGGTTCGAGTCCTAGCTGCTCCACTTCTGATTCAGCTCCCTGCTCATGTGCCTGGGAAAAGCAGCAGATGATGTCCCAAGTCCCTGGGCCCATGCGCTCACATGGGAGACATGGAAGAAGCTCCCGGCTCCTGAATTTGGATTGGCCCAGCTCCAGCCATTGAGGCCATCTGGGGTGTGAACCAGAGGATGGTAGCGCGCTCTCTCTCTCTCTCTTCCTCTCTAACTATGCCTTTCAAATAAATAAAAAATAAGTCTTTAAAAAGAAAATGAAAATTTGCATTTGACTCTGTATGTATAAACAGGTAAGAATACACAACAGGCATGATGTTTTCTGAAACACATTACATCTCACATTTGTCACTACTTTAGAGGTTCCCCTTCCCCCTGGCCACATGCACCTACTTTCTTCGGGGAAGAATGGACTTTCTTTATGGCAGGAAAAGAAAGCCAGGACATGCACTTTTGGACAGCTCATATTTGTCTGCCCAAAGCATCCACTTATCTTCAGGGCCAAGGCCACTGAGGGAGAAAATGGTCTCTAAGATGCTGATGGCCTCTGTAGACCAATCATGGGCTTGCACGCTGCAAACCTTGGCTCATGCGATTGACCAACCAGCTTTGGGGATGACAGCACAGAGAAGGGTGAAGCCAGCTCCTAATGAGGCTGTGGGAAGTAGGCAGAACACGGTTGGAGGAGCAAGGCCGCAGGGGGGATGCCGCCTGGGGCCCTCTGGGCCTTACCTTCCAGAGAGGGCAATTTAGAAAAGCAGCGACCCCCAAAATTTTGAATGACAGCCAAAAGCAAGGGGCTTACACCCCACTTCCCATTTTGGATCCTGAGAGCAGCCAGTCTTGTGGTGTGCTCTCCTCTGGTCCAGCTCTCCATTTCACCTCTCCGCAGACTCACATACTATTGGCACAACTACCTCACCAACTGTGTAAGGTGGGTAGGGCAACGGCCAGGATTCCTCAATGGCCAAAGGAGAATTACTTCGCACAGAGGCTAGGGGAGTCGCCAACTACTTACATGCCAAGTAAGTGGCAGAACTAGAACCAAACCTGTCCATTTGACTTCCAAACCACACCTATTAAATTGTCAACAAATTGGGATGGGCTTGCAGCTGCCAATGATGGCTTGCAAAGCACGCATGCCATGTTGGAGTGCCTATGTGACAGTCCTGGCTACTCTGCTTCCAATCCAGCTTCCTGCTAATGCACACCCTAGGAGGCAACACCTGGGAGCCCAAGTCCTTGGGTTCCAGCCATCCAGGTAGGAGATCCAGGTAGAGTCCTGGGATCCTGGCTTCAGCCTGACCCAGTGCCAGCTAGTGCAAGTATTTGGGGACTGAACCAGAGTATGAGAGCTCTCTGTCTCTCTGCCTTTCAAATAAAATCCAATCCAGCTCCTTGCTCATGTGCCTGGTAAGGTAGCATATGATGGTCCAAGTACTTGGGCCCCTGCCACCCACGCAGGAGACAAAGATGGAGTTCCAGGCTCTTGGCTTCAGTCTAGCCCAGCCCCTGCTGTTGCTGGTATTTGGGGAGTGAAAAGTGGATAGACAATTATCTACTTTTCTCTCTATCTCTCTCTGTCACTCTTCCCTTCAAATAAATAAACAAAATCTTTTTAAAAATGAGTGAAAAGTAGCTTTAAAATGTTAACACCATTTCTTTAAGTATATTAATAAAACTCCCATTCACTTAGAAATATACTTAATTGCAATGAAATGGGATAAATTAGATCATTCTAAATTAATTAACTACACTGTACAACATTCCAATTAGAGGCTGCATTTTTATGACAGAGTTGGTTTTAAAAAGAGAATAAAAAAGGGAGAGAACGATCCAACATGGGAAGCAGGATACACAGCAGACTCATAGAATGGCAGATGTCCTAAATAGCACTCTGGCCTCAGAATCAGCCCTTAAGGCATTCGGATATGGCCGAAGAGCCATGAGAGTATTTTAGGCATGGAAAGCCAAGACACTCTGGAGGAGAAAAAAAAAAAAAAAAAAAGAAGAAGACCTAAATGAAAGATCTCTGCGAGTGAGATCCCAGTAGAAAGAACAGGCCATCAAAGAAGGAGGTACCTTTCTCTGAAGGGAGGAGAGAACTTCCACTTTGACTATGGCCTTGTTGAAATAAGATCAAAGCTGGCGAGCTCAGGGGGCTTCCATGGCCTGGGCAACTCATGACTAGAGCCTGGGGAGATTGCTGATGCCTTAAACAAGAGTGTCAAATTGTTAAGTCAACAACAGGAGTCACTGTGCACTTACTCCCCATGTGGGATCTCTGTCCTTACTGTGTAGCTCAATGTGAATTAATGATATGACTAGTCAAACAGTATTTGGCAATTTGTGTTCCGTGTGGGTGCAAACTGATGAAATCTTTACTTAATATATACTAAATCGATCTTCTGTATATAAAGATAATTGAAAATGAACCTTGATGTGAATGGAATGGGAGAGGGAGCGGGAGATGGGAGGGTTGCGAGTGGGAGGGAAATTATGGCGGGGGGAGCCATTGTAATCCATAAACTGTACTTTGGAAATTTAAATTCACTAAATAAAAGTTAAAAAAAAAAGAAAAAAAATTGTAAAAAAAACGATGGAAATATTAGGAAGAAAAAAAGTCACTCTTGCAATCATATTCATCATGAGAGGAATGGTTAAAAGTTTTCAAGGTTCACATGAACGGAGAGATGTAAACACATGAGTGATATTAATAGACATGGTGAGGCTTAATTAGACTCTTTACGTAATTCTTCCTTCAACATTTCCATTCCTACATTAAACAAGCATCTTTTTCAGCACCTAGCAGTGCAAAGAATAAATCATTCATTTTCCACTAAAATTATTTTTTCATGTTGGAAAAAAATAACACATGGTTGTTGGACAAGATCATCAGGGCAGAATGATACAATGTAACAAATACCCCCTTAGAACTAGCTAGCAGCAGTGGGACAAGTATGCCTGCCTTTCACATGGATACACACATAGGATATGCCTATGTTTTGTAAATAATTACATGCAGACACACATACTGTTTTTACTGTATGAAGTGCTGAGGATAGCTAACACTTGCTGTCTGCACCAGACATCTTTCTGATTCCTCAGGTGCCCGGTTCCTCAGTTACAGAAAAGGCAGTGGAACACAAAGAAATCAGGCAGCATGCCCACGGTCAATCTGCTCTAAATGCCTGCTGTGTGCGCTGCCTTTTCACTTGATTTACCACGGGCCTTCTCCCTCATCAATTCCTGGGCTCACGCCGCCTCCTTTAACAGGCTGCCTGGCATTCCACTACCTGTACTGACAGACCTCCATATAATTAACCAGTCTCCTACCCAAAACCATTTAGGCTATTTCACAATACTGTGATAAAGCTTTTACAGGAGAGAACTTCAAAAGGCTTGTGCAGAATGAAATTAAGAGGTAAATTTACCTAGATGCAAAGCTATTTTGAAATCCCTGCATTTTTTTTTTCATCAAACATATTTCCCATGAACTTTCTAATCTTTGCTTACACAACTTTTATACATCCGTGCCGAAGGATTTTTACAAATGGTGAGCTGGGTCAGGGACTATGTGAATTTATTAACAAATGGTTTGCTGCTAACATGTTCTTTAATATTACTGATAGGGTGAGTAAATGGGGAAGATTTGGCAGTCACTTAGTGTGGTTACTTCCTTACTTAGGCAGATAGCTACAGGTGAAGACAGTAGGAACACAGAAATCTGTAACAAGGTAGCACAGTGAGTGCTGGACATAGACAGCAGAAGAGTTCCAGATTGGAGGAGGAGCCATGTTGCAATGAGGAAAAGAATTTTCAGAAGGAGCTGCCTGGGATATGGTGACTCGGTAGGGGCTAATAACCCTGTTGGGCACTTTGAATGTTATTGCATTTACTCCTACAACAACCCTAAGGTACACTGGTACAACTGTTTTACTGATGGGGAAAAGCACCCAGATTGATGCCTATGAACCCCACCTCCAAAGACACGCTTCTAATCCTCCTTACCGAATTGTGTCTTCTCCACTTAAAGAATTCTGCTGAGTATTAACTGAGCTTCCTGCTTTAACAAACTTTTCCTAAATCGCCCCAGCTGTCTTACCTCAGGATATATTTATTTTCTTTTAAAAAAAAAAAAAGATTTATTTATTTGAAAGTTAGAGTTACACAGAGAGAGGACAGGCAGAGAGAGAGAGAAAAAGAGTTCTTCCATCCGCTGGTTCACTCCCCAACTGGCCACAATGGCCAAAGCTAGGAGCCAGGAGCTTCCTCCCAGTCTCCCATACAAGTGCAGGAGCCCAAGGATTTGGGCCATTTTCCACCGCTCTCCCAGGTCAAAGCAGAGAGCTGGATCAGTAAGTGGAGCAGCCGGGACTCAAACCAGCGCCCATATAGGATACAGGCACTGTAGGTGGCAGCTTTACACTCTATGCCACAGCGCCGGCTCCAAGATATATTTATTTTCCTTTTGTGTCTGTAATCTCTGGTTGTGATTTTAGGCTCTATGAGGTCAGAGGTCCTGTTGTGTAAAACTATGCCTACCAAACAAGCACACTGTCTCGTATTAGTTACAGTAATGGAAAAAGCCCGGAACGGTCATACATTTCTTCCTGCAGAAAGCTGACAATTTATTAAACATTTACCAAAAAGTTACTATGTCCCCAGCCCTTCCTGATACCATTGTGAATGCAAATTTTGTGTTCCCTCCCATTTGTCACCTTGAATAGATAAGTATTATCATTAGAATATTTACCTTTTTCATTTCATCCTCAAATGCCTTTTCCAAATACTTGTACCTCCTGATGAGTTTGTTGAAGACCTAAACATGAAAGAGAACCAGAACATATCCCGTAAGCAATTTTAGAAAGCACGGAAGGAGGGGTAGAAATTCGTTATGACCACGTTGTAGATCTATAAAAATAAAAACAGGTGGGAAGACGGGCTGACCCTGTGATATGAGAGCTATGAGCTTTTCAAAGGAGTTACTAGGACTGAGGGAACAAACAGGGCCAAATTCACTCAGGAATATAACAGACACAGAAACCAAAAGTAACTCTGGTGAAGATGAACTGAATGGGATTTTTAAGCTGTGAGACACAGATGTGGACAACAGCCGAAACCAGGAGTTCCAGATACAATGGCACAGATCAGGAACGGTTCTAACTCCAGGCAGGAAAGGATTACTGGCCCTACAATCCGGCATTCGGTTAAAGCTGAGTAGTTTACAACTGCCTGCCAGTGGGGCTTGAGACAGCTGGGTTACGTTGACCAATGCTCTTGTTGAAGTAGGGGTTCTGTAAATATTATTCTCATAGCTGCCTTGCTCTTCCAATCATGACACACTCCCAGGAGACTTCTGTGCTGTGACTACCCCTGCTTCTCCAGGTGATCAGCATGGAGTCTGAGACTGACAGGAGAAACTGCAGCTGCCTTTTACCGGGAAAGAACAAACCACCCGGGCAGCGAACTGACATGCCGCAGAAAACAGAAAACCCTCTGCATTCAAACGTCATTCAGCTACAAAGTACAAAGTGAGCTACCCGCATGCAACGTGAATTCCCACTGAAACATTCCTGTCCACTTAACTTCTCTCTGCCTCACCACACTGCTGACCCAGTTTTTTTTTCTGCTGACCTACACGTAGGCAATAATTTTTAAACTCAGAAACCACAAATCAAAGCTTTCCTCAGAGACCCATATTCCACATGAAAAAAAAAAAATCTGTACAAAGAAACTGTCCTATTTAGGTACCAGGAAGAGGCGAACTCCTTCATCTCTGCGTATGGGAAGATGGTAGGGATGTTTCCTCCAGGACTACTACTTTTTTTTTTTTTTTTTTTTTTTTGACAGGCAGAGTTAGTGAGAGAGAGAGAGAGAAAGGTCTTCCTTCTGTTGGTTCACCCCCCCAAATGGCTGCTATGGCCAGTGCTGCGAAGATCCGAAGGCAGGAGCCAGGTGCTTCTTCCTGGTCTCCCATGCAGGTGCAGGGCCCAAGCACTTGGGCCATCTTCCACTGCCTTCCCGGGCCACAGCAGAGAGGTGGACTGGAAGAGGAGCAACCGGGACAGAACCGGCCCCCCAACCGGGACTAGAATCTGAAGTACCAGCGCCGCAGGTGGAGGATTAGCCTAGTGTGCTGCAGCACCGGCCCCTCTAGAACTTCTTAATTGATTGTTGGCACTGGAAATCAAACAAGGGATCATGTACCTTGTGTTTGCATTCATTTGATCCTCAAAGAAATTCTGTGGCAAGGAGCAAGCAGGCAATGATTGTTACTTGGTAGATCCGAAAGATCTACGCTTCTCCTAAATATCATAACTATATAAAATGATGATTATAATAACTTCTGCTAAATACCAGAGCCGACTGCAGACGGCAGCTTTACCTGCTATGCCATAGTGCTGGCCCGCTGTTCCACTTCTGATCCAGCTCCCTGCTAATAAAATAAGCTTGGGAAAAAGCAGAAGATGGCCAAATGTTAAGGTCCCTGCCACCCACATGGGAAACCTGGATGGAGCTCCTGGCTCTTGGCTTCGGCCAGGCCCAGCCATCTTCTACTGCTTTCCCAGGCCATCAGTAGGCAGCTGCATTGAAAAGGAGCAGCCAGGACTCAAAGCTGGCTGTTGTGGCCATCTGAGGAGTGAACTAGCATATGGAAGATCTCTCTTTTTCTGTCCGTCCGTCCCTCCCTCCCTCCCTCACACTAACTATGCATTTCAAATGAATAAATAAACCTTTGTTTAAAAAGGGTAAGAAATCTCTTCACTAAAATGTCATGTAATGAAAAAAATTTCTTTCTTTCTTTTTTTATTTGACAGATAGAGTTAGCGTGAGAGAGAGACAGAAAGCTCTTCCTTCCATTGGTTCACCCCCCAAATGGTTGCTATGGCCAGAGCTACACCGATCCTAAGCCAGAAGCCAGGTGCTTCTCCTGGTCTCCCGTGCGGGTGCAGGGGCCCAAGCACTTGGGCCATCCTCCACTGCCTTTCCGGGCCACAGTAGAGAGCTGGACTGGAAGAGGAGCAACCAGGACTAGAACCTGGCGCCCATATGGGATGCCAGCGCTGCAGGCAGAGGATTAACTAAGTGAGCCACGGCGCCAACCCTGAAAAATAATTTCTTAAAGTATAAATTCACAATAGCCACATACCTCAAACAACTTGACTTACCATACTTAGTGCACATTAATGAGAAATGATATGGTTTCTAGCATAAAAGTTAGATCAGGGCTGGTGCTGTGGTGCAGCTGGTTAAGCCTTTGTCTGCAATGCCGGCATACCACATGCACATTGGTTCGAGTCCCATATGCTCTACTTCAATGCAGCTCCCTACTGAGAGCCTGGGAAAGCAGTAGAAGATGGCCCGAGTGCTTAGACCCCTGCACTCATGTGGGAGATCCAGCTGAAGCTCCTGGCTCCTGGCTTCAGATCAGCTCAGCTCCGGCTATTGAGGCCATTTGGGGAAGGAACCAAAAGATGGAAGAACTCTTGTCTCTCCCTCTCAATAAATAAATAAATAAATCTTTAAAAAAAAAAATTCTGATCACTTGGCTGAGGTTAATTCTATGGCCTCTTTCATCTAGCTAGGCCATCACAAAAGGTCTAACAAGGGAGGTATTGACCTAGTACTTGCTCTGAGCTGAAGCTGGGAATAACAACTGAATTTGAGAGGGGTCAGTAGCAGCGGTCATTGTGTTACAGCAGATTAAGCCGCTGATGGGGAAGTCCACATCCCACATCCAAGTGCCTGGGGTTGGTCCCAGCTACTCCGCTTCCGATCCAGCTTCCTGCTAATGCACCTGGAAGGTAGCAGGCGATGGCTCAAGTATACTGGAGTCACCGTCACCCACATGCTAGACAAGGACAGAGCTCCTGGCTCCTGCCTGCTCCAGCCCCAGCTGTTGTGGGCATTTGGCAAGTGAACTTTTGGATGACGGATATCCCCGCCTACCCCGTGTCTCTCTGCCTTAACGAAATTAAAAAAAAAGTCAGGGACAGAAGCAGAATAGGAACACTCCAACATACTAGCCTATCAAGATGCAGCGAGGTCCAACTTTACAGGGCGACGTATCACAGACTGTACCACCTAACAACTCCCACCATTTCCCGACCTTTTCTAGGGACACAGATTTAATTCTAACCAACCCAACCCAATGCATGCAAAATCTTTTTATTTATTTATTTTTAAATTTTTTTGACAGGCAGAGTAGACAGTGAAAGATAGAAACAGAGAGAAAGGTCTTCCTTTGCCGTTGGTTCACCCTCCGCGGCCGGCGCACCGCGCTGATCCGATGGCAGGAGCCAAGTACTTATCCTGGTCTCCCATGGGGTGCAGGGCCCAAGTACTTGGGCCATCCTCCACTGCACTCCCGGGCCACAGCAGAGAGCTGGCCTGGAAGAGGGGCAACCGGGACAGAATCCGGCGCCCCAACCGGGACTAGAACCCGGTGTGCGGGCGCCGCAAGGCGGAGGATTAGCCTAGTGAGCCGCGGCACCAGCGCAAAATCTTATCTCATTACTCTGATGCAAATCTCTCAGTTTCCAGTGAGGCTGATCCTGCCTTCCTCTGGTTGAAGACTGGTTTCCTCTCCACTGGGCTGCCTGGCCTTATGTGACTTTTTCCCAGCAGGTTCCTTGTCTTGCTCTCATTGATCTGCAAGGCCTTCATGTACTTGAGAACTGAATCTCTCACAGGTTCTCAATATTTACAAATATTTTCTTACAAGAATACCTAACAGCCCAGAGATCCGACGTGTCAAACTTTAATTGGTCCTCGGTTGATTTCTATACGGCGCTCACCTTTCCACACTGACAGAAGCAATCCCACAGCGACTACGCCACCTGTGTCACCCACACAGATGCAAGCGCAGCTGCGGATGAAGTCTCCCAAGTGGCATTTCTGGGTCAAAGGGAAGATACAGTGCAAACTTGCTTTCCCCAGGACAGGACTAATCTACATTGCCACAAGCTATGGCTGCGAGCGTCTGGTTCCCGCATTCCTTTACAGGTGAGAGGTTGAAAAACAGTATTTTCCTGTAGCTTTAATGCTAGTTGTCTTTTAATTTTTTTAAATTTATTTTTGAAAGGCAGAGTTAGAGAGACAGAGATAGAGAGAGAGGTCTTCCATCTGCTGGTTCAGTCCCCAAATAGCTGCAACAGCCAGGGCTGGGTCAGGCCAAAGCCAGGAGCCTGGAACTCCATCTGGCTCTCCACTGTGGGCAGCAGAGGTCCAAGTGCTTGGGCCATCCTTGGATGTTTCCCCAGGCACATCTGCAGGGAGCTGGATTGGAAGCCAGGACACAAACCAGCACCCTGATATGGAATGAATGACACCATTGCAGGCAGTGACTTAACCTGCTACACCACAATGCTGACTCCACGTCTGCTGTCTTAATCTGAACGCAGTTGAGTAGATCTTTGCATATTGAAGCGCTAACATCCTTGCTGACACAGTGAGTCAGAGTTCCTGAGCCTGAATGCTTCCCCCAGTCTTGTTCACATTCTTCCCTGCCCACACGAAAGGGCCATCTCCGGAAGACAGGCTCTACCTGAGCGTAGTTCCGGATGGTTTCGTGATCTTCATTTGCAGAGAACACACAGTGGTTGGTCATCTTGGTCTTGTCACCATCATCTATGCGTGTTCCGCCTGGGGCTGAAAAGAGAAAGGTCGCTATGGTGAGGGCTCAAAGAACAGACCAACTCCTGCACAGGAGGAGAGGCACAAGGGTTGACGTGAAATCAGTCACACCAGCTTTCACAGAAGGGTGCACACGTGTAGATGCACACGTGTTGCTCCACATTTACGTTTCCAGTGTAATACCAAAGGGTGGTCCTTGCCTTTGTTAGTCTAGCACTACAAATCAGCTTCACTCCCAAACACATCCTTGACCCTGGAAGATAAACCACCACCCGTATTTACTTAATTTTATCCCATGATTCTCAGGGAAGCTCCTGCTATTTCCGCACTGGGATATGGTTCTCTCCGTCAGGCTGGACTCTCCAGTGCAGCAACTATGGAACTGAGCGGACCTGACTCCAACAGTAGATCTTGGTGCCTCCTGACTGGGTAGGTATGCAAGCTGCTCCCTCCGTCAGGGTTGTGTGGCTTGTACCCTGACTGCCTGCCCTTTGTACCCGACAGCCCTGCAGCTGGGTCGTCTGGGAGTGAATTCTGCATGCTATCTGATTCTCATTCCTCGTGGACCCGAGGGAAAGAATGCCCATATCCCCTCTACCATTCAACTTTCCCTACACCACGGCTCCTCCGCTAAGTTTCAATGGCGGCCATCACAAGCACTGGTTTGATCAGAAGAGCAGAATCAGAACACTGGCTCTCAAAGAAGGAAGTACTTTTCTTAGAAGGGAGGAGAAAGCTTCCACTTGGCTTATGGCCCTGTCGAAATACTGACAGTTTGTGGACTCAAGAGGCTTCCAATGCCTTGGCAGCTCATGGCAAGAGCCTCAGGTGATCACTGACATCATAAATAAGAGTGTCAATTGTTAAATCAACAACGGGAGTCACTGTGCACTTGTTCCCCATGTAGGATATCTGTCCTTAACGTGTTGTACTATGCGAATTAACTATAAAATTTATTTGCAAACGGTACTTCATACGTTGTATGTCTGTATGGGTACAAATTGTGGAAATCTTTACTTAGTATATTCTAAGTTGATCTTCTTTATATAAAGTTAATTAAAAACAAATCTTAATGAAAAATGGATGGGTGAGGGAGTAGGAGGTGGGATGGGAGTGGGAGTGGCAGAGTGGGTATGGGGGGAAGAACCGCTATATTTCTAATGCTGTACCTATGAAATTTGTATTCATTAAATAAAAGCTTTCTTAAAAAAAAAAAAACAAAAAACAAAAAACAAAACACTGGCTCTATTGTTTTCCAATTATACGTCACTGGAATTAGGGTAGAAGGTTGGAGTGGGCCGAGGAAGAGCTTAACTACCATTTCTAGCATATGACTTACAGCAGCACGGTGCCCGGCACCAATGACTCAGCCGTGATCAAAGTTGAAAAGGCAGACTCTCCTCATCACAGACTCCTGTCACTCTGTGCATGCCAGCATTTACCAGCCTTGACTTAACCTGTGATTTCTGACCTGTGCATGCAAAAGTCCATATGCAGCCACCTCTGCTGGTAACGCATGCTACCAGGCAAAGGAAAAGTCGGCCGAGCTACAGTTGTCATAGTTCATCTGTTTTACGGGCCACAGACACCAGTCTGAAGTTTTAAGTAACTAGATTTTTTCTTAATTAGAGATTTATTTATTTGTTTGAAAGAGTGACAAGGAGGTACAGACAGAAATCTTCCATCCACTCGTGGACTGACGGGTCCACTCGTCAGATGGCCCCAATGGCTGGGGCCAGGCCCGGCTGAAGCCAGGAGCCAGGAGCTTCACCTGGGACTTCCCCATGGGTGACAAGGGCCCAAACACTTTGGCCAACTTGTGCTGCTTTCCCACGCCATTAGCAGGGAGCTGGATTGGAAGTAGAGCAGCCAGGACACAAATCAACGTCCAAATGGGATGCTGGCATTGCAGGTAGTGGCTTTACTTGCTAAACCACAACACCCCAGCCCCAAGTAATTACTTTTTAGAGATTTTAGCTCCTTCAGGGGTTAATTTATAATTAGCTTATGCACAAGATTTAATTAGTCCTTTTAAATGGACATGACCACCTGGAACAAAATTTTAGTGAGATGATCACCTTGGCGCAGGCACCATGGCTCAGTAGGTTAATCCTCCACTTGCAGCGCCTGCATCCCATATGGCACCAGTTCTAGTCCTGGCTGCCACTCTTCTGATCTAGCTCTCTGCTATGGCCTGGGAAAGCAGTAGAAGATGGCCCACGTGCTTGGGCCCCTGCAACCACATGGGAGACCAGGAGGAAGCTCCTGGCTCCTGGCTTCGGATCAGCATAGCTCCAGCTGTTGCAATCACCTGGGGAGTGAACCAACGGAGGGAAGACCTTTCTCTCTGTCTCTCCCTCTCACTGTCTAACTCTACCTCTCAAATAAATGAAAATAATCCTTTTTTTTTTTTTAAAAAAAAGGTGATCATCTTAATCTAGAAACTGGGCAAATGATTCCTATCTGATAAAAATTAAATACTAAAAAGACTAAAATTGAAGTTATAGACTTTCCTCCTGAGAGGTGAGTTTAAAAAGTGCATTCTAGGTGCTGGCGCTGTGGCGTAGCAGGTAAAGCCACCGCCTGCAGTGCCGGCATCCCATATGGGTGCCTGTTCGAGTCCCGGCTATTCCACTTCGATCCAGCTCTCAGCTATGGCCTGGGAAAGCAGTAGAAGATGGCCCAAGTCCTTGGGTCCCTGAACCCACGTGGGAGACCCAGAGGAAGCTCCTGGCTTCTGGCTTTGTATTGGTACAGCTGCATCCATTGCTACCATCTGGGGAATGAACCAGCAGATGGAAGAACCACCTCTCTCTCTCTCTCTCTCTCCCCCTCTGCTTCTCTCTCTGTGTAACTGTGACTTTCAAATAAATAAGTAAATCTTAAAAAAAAAAAAAAAAAAGGAAACCAGGGGCCAAATATGATTGGCATCCGAAGAGCTAGGCTAGGTCTCACGGCTGGGGACAAGAATGGCAGAGGGTCAACGGTGCGGCATGGATGTCTACAATCGACCAGTGCAGTTGGCCGAGGCTCTGGCAAGACCCACACCTTGCTGAGGATCATTCCTGTGCAGCATTTATTTGTGCACAGACCAAAATAAGCATAATTCAGATAGTAACCACAGGGAAGGATGTTCAACTCTACCATTAATTTAAATTTTATTCTGAAAACATCCATCACTCACCAAATTGACAAAGATCTACAAGAGTGACAAAGTAGCTACTGTTCCATAAAAAGTTAAATAAACAGGAATTCATGCTTTTTGACAAACTGTTACGTAGCATATTCTTTGTGAAGGCTGGTTGTCTTTCTGAGGTAGATACAAAGATGCAGATATAAATATCTCCATCCTGTAATCCACTAATCCCTGGCAGGTACACACAGGTGTAATCAGATAAGAGCAGAAAGCTACATGCATACACACCGGTAACCTTGCAGCAAAAACCAAAAACAAATGTCCATTCACATAAGTTTGGTTTTAATTCTTTGTGATGAGACAGGGGCACTGGGTGAGTTTGGACACCCACATCCCGTACTGCAAGCCTGAGTCTGATTTCCAGCTCTGCTCCTGATTCCAGCTTCCTGCTGAAACACATTCTGGGAGGCAGCAGGCGATGCAGGCTCAAGTAGCCGGGTCCCTGGCACCCGTGTAAGAAACCTAGACCGAGTTCTAGGCTCCTAGCTTTGGGTTTAACCGGCTCTAGCTGCTACATCTGGGGAGTGAGCCAGCGAATGGAAGATCTCTGTGTGCCATCCAATAAAATAAGATAATAATCATAAACAAAATTGAAGAAGTTTGGTTTTAGCAGTTATTTCCTGATGAAAGGCACGGATGGCACTGGGGGCAGGAGAACCTTTCTCTGTGAGGACGTCGCAGCACAGGCAGCGCCCCGGGCCCCCAACCCCATCTTTGAAACAGCAAACAGCAGAGCAGTTCCACACTGGAGAACTCGGGGTCCCTGGCCGGGGAGACTTGGGTACTTTACGGCTACGACAGAAACCGGCGAGAACGAGGCTCTGAGAGTGACTCTGAGGGGAAGAGGGGCGGTTCTGGCCGCTGACACACATTGGGATCAGGTGCTGAGCATTCTTTCCCTGCACGTTTCTCTGTATTCAAGGATTTCTGATCTTCTATCACGGCCCCTCCTTGCTAACTACAGTGCACACATCAAAAGGATTTAAAGAAAACCAAAACCAAAAACTAGGCCTATATTATACTCCCTAGACACGCTGCTATGTACGGATGAAATGACATTACCTCAGTCTTCCACAGCAAAGCAGGCAAGAGCTGAAAGATCAACAGAAACCTTAGGCCGGGGCCTCTCCCTAGGAGTACCATCCCACACTGTAACTTAGGTACAATTACAGACCTTCCACTTGCAATTTTTATCAACTCCAACCAAGATTCTACCTGATAGGGAAATACCTTGGGGGAATTAAAAATACAGGGCTGGGGCTGGCACTGTGGCGCAGTGGGTTAAAGCCCCAGCCTGCAGTGCTGGCATCCCATATGGGTGCTGGTTTGAGTCCCGGCTGTTCCACTTTCGATCCAGCTCTCTGCTAGGGCCTGGGAAAGCAGTGGAAAATGGCCCAAGTCTTTGGGCCCCTGCACCCGTGTGGGAGACCTGGAAGAAGCTCCTGGCTCCAGAACAGTGCAGCTCTGGCCATTTCGGTCATTTGGGGAGTGAACCAGAGAAATGGAAGACCACTCTTTCTCTGGCTCTACCTCTCTCTGTAACTCTGCCTCAAATAAATAAAATAATTCTTCAAAAAAAAAAAAAAAATACAGGGTTAGCTCAGGAAGACATTCGCGTGCGTCATACAGCGCGGCTTACCAAGCATGCTGCCAGCCACCAGGATGTCGAAGAGCGTGTCGGCATAACGACGGTAATCTAACCTGGAGCCCGTGGAGTCCAGAAACTTGGCTACAGCTTCAAGGTCATCGCCAGCTTCATTAAGTCCCTGGACAAGTGTATCCCTGAAGACTGTGGGTTCGAATTTCTCTTTTTCATCTAAAAATAAAAACATTTTTATAGGATTATCTCTTAGGTACACATCCTCATTCCTCCACACATGGTGTTTCCTTTGACAGGTGATTTTCAAAAAGCTGAAAGACAATGTAAAGTTTTTCCTTTTTTTTTTTTGGATTTGCATGGTCTGCAACCCCTGATTAAACACTGATTCGAAGAAAATAGTTTATTTCTGTTCAAGGGCCACAGAAATATTTGAATTCTCCGATACTCTAACCATCAAAAATTAAACTAAGCACCAGGAGGAAGCAATAAGGAGGGTTATCATAGGATAAATTACTCCAGGGTGAGTACTTGAACATTCAGTACAGGGGTGGGTATTTGGCCCAGCGGCTTAAGGCACTGCTTATGAGGCCTGCGTTCCTTATCTGAGTGCCTGGTGTGAGTCCCAGCTAACAGGAAGAAGGTGACAGCTCAAGTGCTTGGGCCTCTGCCACCCACATGGGAGACCCTGATGACCCTGATGGAGTTCCAGGCTCCTGACTTTGGCTTCACCCAGCCCTGGGCTGTTGTGCAGGCATCTGGGGAAGTGAATCGGTGGTGAATGGAAGATGTCTTTCTCTTACTCTCTCTGCCTTTCAAATAAAATGAAATGAACAGAAATTTTAAAAATATTCAGTATGTATAATGAGCTATGTATGTATACCGAAAGCTTCAGAGTAAATATTGTAAATATTCAGTCTTTTTACCTTTTGAATTCTTTTTTAAAAAAGATTTATTTATTTATTTCAAAGTCAGAGTTACACAGAGAAGGAGAGGCAGAGAGAGACACAGAAAGACAGAGAGAGAGGTCTTCCATCCGGTGGTTCACTCCCCAATTGGCCACAACAGCTGGAGCTACGCTGATCTGAAGCCAGGAGCCAGGAGCTTCTTCCAGGTCTCCCATGAAGGTGCAGGGGCCCAAGGATTTGGGCCATCTTCTACTGCTTTCCCAGGCCACAGCAGAGAGCTAGATCAGAAGTGGAACAGCTGGGACTCAAACCAGTGCCTATATGGGATGCCGGTACTGCAGGCAGTGGCTTCACCCACTACACCACAGCGCTGGCCCCTTGAATTGTTTTTTTAAATGTTATTTATTTTCAATTTCAAAAAGCACCCAGGTGGTGTGGTGGGTTAAGCCGCAGCCTGCAACACCTGCATCCTATATAGCCACCAGTTTAAGTCCTGGCTTGCTTCACTTCCCATCCAGCTCCCTGCTAAGGCCTGGGAAAGCGGCAGAAGATGGCCCAAGTGTTTGCACCCCTGCACTCTTATCAGAGACCCAGAAGAAGCTCCTGGCTTTGGTCTGGCCTAGTCCTGGCTGTTGCAGTCATTTGGGGAGTGAACCAGCAGACGTAGACTTCTCTCTGCCTCTCCCTCTCTGTAACTCTGCCTTTCAGATAAATAAACAAATCTTTAGGGAAAAAAAAAACCAAACAAAAAAAACACCAAAAGGTGCGTGTGTGTTGCACACACACATGCACACAAACACACACACCCCTTGCATTTTGCTGGTCAACAGCTGGAGCTGGGCCAAACTGAACTCAACCCAGGTCTCCAAGATGGGTGGCAAGGACCCAAATCCTTGAGCCTCCCAGGGTGTGCATGACCATGAAGCTGGAACTGGACAAGTCAACCATTAGAGTGGCATTTTTGTCCCCTTTGGTAGCTTTGGGATCTGCAAGGAGGGAAGGCCTATACTTCCAGAATGGAAAGTTCCTACCTGTACTTGTGGGGAAGAAAAGTCCTTGTCAAGGTCCCTGCAGGTGCCTAAAGGTCAACCAGTGAGGATCAGACCCGCCTCTACCTTTAATTCCCATGCCCTGAATCTATAAAAGGAGCTCTCCCAATCTCTGACGCACGACTTCCCCGGTCCCCGCTCTATTGCTCTGTTGGGGCCGTGGAACCTCACCCGGGAGCGGAACCCCAATAAAAGCCTGTGAATTAACTGATTCGTCTGCCTGGGAAGATTTGTTATGCGCTGGACGGACACCTTGCACCGTTCTGCAAATCTTGTCAATGCCTGGCCCAACAGCTGACAGCTGACTTCCCACATGCACTGCCTTGGGTGTATCACAATTTCTCCCAGTCCTTAGGTCTCTGGACAATTTTGCTGTAGACTCAGGAGAAAACCTGTGACAGAGGCAAATAATGTCTTCAGTTACTTATTTATTTTTTAATAAAAGCCGTTTTTGTTAGGTAGGAAGTTAGAAATCAGCCTAGGTGAGGAGTCTAAGGAGAACAAAACTTTTGGGAGAAGGAACGAGGCAGCCTTGGAAGCAGCTACAAAGTCCTGCCCACACCCAGGTAACTTCACAGGTGCTCCCAGCCTTGCCAGGAGGAAGGCGGCCTAGGGGAATCCTCACTCTCCTCTCTGAGTAATAAAACCCAGGAGGAATCTCAGCTATTTCTCACCAGCAAACCCTCTGCCTTGTAGAAGGTTGGTTTGGACAAAGCCAGTGCCATGCAATGGAAAAGAAGCAGAAGAAGGCAAAGTAGAGAAGAGAATGAGAGGGCTAAGGACAAAGCCCACCCCTCCCCCAGTCAAGCCAAAGGGATTCATGGGGGTGATGAATTCTGGGGGGCAGTGCAGCACCCTGCAGCTTCTCGGACAGAAACAAACAAATAAACCAAAAACCCCACCAAGCCACATATAAAGCTCAACCCGCTCTTGACAAGCCCAAGCGACAACTCTGCAGTCTAGGATTTTGGTGTGCAGCCAAATTATTCAGATACGGAAACGCGAAAGTAGGAGGTCAGGAGACGCCCACTGCTACAGGCAAAGGGGAGAAACAGGATGCGGCGATGCCTCCTTGTGGGTCACGGTGACATGTCAAGCTGGTGACATGTCAAGCTGGTGACGTGTCCAGCGGATGGCTCCACAGCTGGTCCGGAAGGCAGGCTGACCCGGAGTTCTACAGTACCGTAATACAATGTGATGTGATCCGGAGATATTCCTGCAACACCCCAGTGCTGCCAGAATTCCTGAAGCGTTTATATTAAGAGATTTACAGGGCAGAAGGAAAGGTTCGGGCTGAGACTGGCTCTCAAGCACAGAAAGCGAAGCCAGCGAGAGTTAAGTGATTAAAGTCATTAAATCCAGAGATGATGAAACGATGCTCAGAAAAAGAGCCAAGGACAGCATGCGCAAAGGTCACAGCGGCTCGAATCCCAAACACCCGTCTAGCTGAGATGATGACTCCACGGAAGGCTAAGAAGGGGGAGGACTGTGAGGGGGCGGGCAGTGAAAGCCAGCCGACTCCTCACCCTCCAGGGCAGGAAGCGCACACCTAATACCTCCCACGGAAAAATCAAGAAATAGCTCCATGAGAAGGCTACTTGGCCCCCAGGAAATGTTCCCAACAAAGCAAGCCGCTGGGAGACCTTGCAGGAGCTCTGTGCCAGCCGCCTTGCCGCTGTTGTAACATGTCTTGCAGAAGTGTCTGTGTAAGCCACGTACACCCCTAACTTTGGTAATATTAAAACTACACTGACTACCTGTAGGCCAGCAAGAGGGATGGGCCAGCTCTGGCTAACATCACTGACATCAGCATCAGAAGCGGAGGAAGAGAACCCCTTGCCCAGTACCAGCCAGAGCCATGCAGCCTGAGATACCAGCGACGCGCACAGAAATGAACTGCACTGACAGTCGTGAACAAAAGGCACAAAGTCCTTTTGATGCCCTAAGAGCAAAACGCTACGCAGCCAAGGACATGCAAATGCCGACTGCAGAGGAAAGTATAATTAGTGTGTTGTTGTGCAGAGGGGCGGCAGTCGGCCAGGAGCTCCGGAGGAATGTACCATGAAGGACTGCACGAGGGGGTAACCGAGTGGTAACCGTGCCCTGTCTGCTCCCTTCCCCGAGGTCTAGCTACACGGTCATTCTCCTTTGCACTCTGAAGAAGGTGCATTCTTTCCTGTCCTACAAGAGGACTTGGTTTTTAACTTGAGATGACTTGAAAACCTGTGTTTGGAAAGCAGCTTTCTCCTCCCATTATAATTTTCCAGAAGAACTGCCAAGGAAGGGGAAAGGTGAACGAGGGAAGACGGTGCATCACGGCCAAGGGTGTTTCAACACGTTGGGTCAGAAAGGCCAGCACAGAGCTCAGGAGCCTTCGAAGGTCACGAGGGCACCGCAGGACGAATAATGCTTTTGCAGGATGGAAAAACAGCTCGCACCTGTCAAGGTGTTCAACAAGAGGAAGAGAAAATCCCTAAGCAAGACAGCGACAGGAACACCAATGGAAACTTGGGGAAGGAAGGCAACAGTTCAACCCAAGATCCATTTTCATTGAAATATTGTTCATGTTTCATCTGAGGACAGCAGAAATACCACCAAGACCCCAACACAGATCCGCTACCAACTTCTTAGAGTTTCCGTGGGGGCACTCGCGCCTCCCTGAAAGTGGGAAGCATACAACAAGGGTCTCAGCTTTATAATGCACTGTGAATCCCAAGTGTGACCCTAAGGAGCTGGTTAGAATCGCCCTTGCCCTGACAGAAACGGGCCTGGTTCTGACCCTCCAAAACACCTGTAAGTGTCCCAAGTGCCAACTACAGCAGCTGGTGAATACAGAGTTGTTGTTGTTGTTTTTTATAAATGTGCTAATGCAAGGATAAACAGCGAAAGCCACCCGTCTTTCTGGAAGCCACTGGGGTGCAGTAAATGAGTGAGCAATATTAAGTACCTTTTAACCACACACATGCATCTACCTATGTATACACTTCAAGTTTTAAAGGCTTACTCAGTTAACGACTCCGTTTTACTGTGAATCTAAGGGATTTCAAGTCAGTAACACAGAACTAAAGTTAGGGGGAAACCTGAGTAGCCGGTCACTCTGATGCCTGCATTTTGGTCATCTTTTCCCTACTGATTATCATTCATTTTAACCCAATTATTCCATAAAATTTACCAGTGAGGGGGCAGTTTTGTTACTAAATTATTTTATTTAGCAAATCAGTGGCCCAGGAGAGAGAACTTTAGCCTTGCAGTCACGCAGCCACACTAGAAAACCCGACCACTTTGGAGAACGCACCCTAAGCATGCCGTGAGGATTTCCGGAAGACGTCAGAGTGGGTCTGGATGGAGTTACTGTGACACCTCCAGCCAGGATGTCTGCGTTCGAGAACCTCATCTGCCCGCTAACCTGGCACAAAGGAGCATGAGCCTGGCTAGGGAGTGGCTTCAGAGTGGGCAGAGAACTTCAGAGGGCAGCCCATCAGCCCACACAATGACCCTGAAGATCCTCACCTCCACAAACTGCTGCTAACCCCTGCCTTGACGTCGGCCCTGTCCTCTGGGCAAAGAAACTCTGACACATGATACACCATCAGAGGTGAGTCACTATTCCAAGGAGCGGACAATGAAGCTGACTCATGGGCTCCCTACGTGTTAAATTCCACCCAGAATCTAAGGCGTACACATCCAGAACCCTGACAAGGACTGTGCATCTCTCAGTTCTCCCCGGGGTCTCCAGCTGCACACCCTACGTCAGCCAATGAATCTGGGTTCCCACCTGAACACAGAGCTGAGGGGCCACACCCCTAGTGGAACCTCTGCTGGCTCCAGTGCTCACTACAGATGCAGATCCAGGCAGACTGGCACAGGCCATGGCCAACCCGCCCCAGCCTTGCAGCTGGGCACAGGTTAACCAGGACCACATCGCCAGGGACCCCACAGCAACCGTGGTGAGGTTTCTCAACCACACAGTTTCATCAAAAGACTGCATTAAACATGGAGACAACCAGTACGTGCCAGCGAGCACCTTGCACCTGCTGTCTGCTTCCACAGTCTGTAGGGAAATGTGGCAGGAGCAGGGTTTGTAAGACCACCGTGAGGACTGAGTGGAGGGCGGTGGCGGCCCAGGCTACACACATGCTTCTTCAGCTTCTGGGGATGAGCCAGAGGTGAAAAGAGAAAGAGAAATAGGAGAGGCCAAGACAGAAATGCTATACAAAGCGGTGACTTCAAAAAACAATTTTTTTTAGTGTCAACCTGTAGCCTTCTGGCAGAGGCGAGGAGCTAAATTCAGTCCTGCTGCTCTCTAGTAGCTCTCGCAAGCTCTTCGGGTCTAATTGATGTACTGTATTGGACTTCCTCTCTTTTTCCGGGACTGGACTGCTCACTAAAGTGGACGCAACAGTGCCAAGAGTTCTGGAGCCTGCAGGAGCTGCTTGGGTACCACTGACGCCCAGGCCACACATTGGGTGGGTTACATAATCGGTCCTCAAGCATCATTACGGGGGATTCTGCTTCAAGATAGTTTCTCTGGGAGCTGACGCTGTGGCACAGTAGGTTAACCCTCTGCCTGCAGCGCTGGCATCCCATATGGATGCCGGTTCGAGTCCTGGCTGCTCTTCTGATCCAGCTCTCTGCTATGGCCTGGGAAAGCAGTGGAGGATGGCCCAGAGGCTTGGGCCCCTGCACCCACATGGGAGACCTGGAATAAGCTCTTGGCTCCTAGCTTCGATCAGCGCAGCTCTGGCCGTTGTGGCCATTTGGGAGTGAACCAGCGGATGGAAGACCTCTCTCTCTGTCTCTCCCTCTCTCTGTAACTCTACCTCTCAAATAAATAAATAAAAAATCTTAAAAAAAAATAAGAGATTATTTCTCTGTACCCATCACACTTCCTCAGGTGTTTTTCAGTCACTCCCTTCGATTCAGTTAACTCCGCAATTTACATCACATCTCTTCCCCAAATGAGTTTCCATACTGTGTTTTCGTTCATTTTTCTTATATTCAAGAGGACCTCTAAATAGTTATGCAAAACTAGCTACATATAAACTGTTCAAAGTATGTTTACACGGACAGAACAGTTAAGATGAACACTATGGAAAACAGCAGTCACTCATGAAACTGACATTTTACTAGACATCATCAAATCGGGTCTCTCCACACTCTTCCGACAGTAAGGACACATGATAACACTATGACTTTTAGGGTGTGCACAGCAGTGAATTTAATTTGATTTCCTAAATTCTGGAAAAAGTAAAAAAAAAAAAACCTCCTTCTCCCTAAATTGTTTCTCTTAGTGTGACCACTCTTGTCATCATACTTACTCAGAAACCACACACACACACACACACACACACACAGTCAAAGACAGCACGGCACTCTTCTTTCCCACATTAAAAAAACAAGAGAAAGAAATGGGGGGAGACAATGAGGACTTTTGGGGTATTAGTAAGTTTGCTCTTTATGAGTATAATAAAGGACCAAAAACTCATTTATCTGTATGCTTACATGCATTTCTTGGTATATGTATTGCATTTCAATAAAATTTAAAAAAATGAGTAAAGTTCATCATTTGCCTCAAACTCTCTATGACAAGGGACAACTTGAACGGTTAGAATGACCCCTATTTTGCAGATAAAGCACAAGCTCAGACAGTCGAGTGATTTGCCCAACAAACACCGAGTGGTCTGGAAATGCTACGGCTCCACCACACAACTCCAGATTCCACAAAGGAGCGGAGGTGCAGCATCCAAGCGGTGGCTGCCGTAGCACAAGACCACAGACAGGATCGGTGATAAACGGTGGTGCAAGTTTATCTGGCCCATGGGTCTGGGAGGCCGGGAAGTCTGAGAGCTGAAGTCAGCCCCGTCGATCAGGCTAAGAAGCACCAAGGCTTAAACAATCCTGGGTCGTGGTGAGGGCCTCCTTGCTGCTCTGTGAGGGGCCAGAGGACAAATAAGCACGGGTCCAGCTTGAGAGCTGAGCGCAGCCCTGCCACGTGGCAGTCTTCCATCCTGACACGCGGCCCTCCTGACCTCATCTCCTCTTAAATGCAGTGACAACTCCAACTCCACCCGCCCATCACAGGGGAAGGAGGACACAGGGACCATTCAAATTCTCTTTCTCTTGGATTTGGACAGAAACTTCAAAACACACACACACCCAAAGCCACAAACCACAACCTACCCCTTTTCCGAGTTTTGAACCGCTGGCCTGTTAGCACTGGCTTCTGATGCTTATTCATAAAATTTCTGAAAACAAAGAAAATAAAGATTATGTCTTTCAGATAAGCAGTGCACATCAAAAAGACACAATGAATAAACATGTTTAACCTCACTCAAAACTGAAAACACTTTTAACAATGAGATCTCATGGCAATACTAGCAAAAGCTGGAAAGTCAACCAATACTCAGTGCTGGCAAAGGACAAAGGGGGATTCAACTACAGATGCAAACTTCAGCTTGGAGCTTAAATCTCACGCAATGCTTCCGGGGCCTTCTAGATTTTACCCAGTTCTCGGTATGTTTAGCACCAGTGCTGATCGAAGTGCATGCATTTAGGAAATACTTGTCAAATACCCTGAGGCACCGAAGCAGGAAGATGTCCAAGGCAAAAGCAGCTTGGATGACACAACGTAAAGTATAAATGGGACGGACGTATCTGTGCAAGATTCACAAAGGATCCGAGAAAGCACGCACAGCTGTTTTTGTCTGCTAGCCGTGGCGCGTGAAGACCTGGGCATTTGATATTTTTTCTGTTGGATTTAACATGCACTATAAAGGATATGTTAACTGTGGAAAATAAGTCAAAACCTGTTCTGAGTTAAGCTTGCTGGCATAAGTATTATAAACTGAAAATCTGTCCAGTTGCTTAAAGTATGAAGGCCAAATGATTAGGATAATATGGACAATGGAAGCAAGTTATTTAGTGCTTTTCAAAGTTTTTAAACATTATGATTTAAAAATGTCAATTTCCTCAACTACTTACTCCATCACACAATCAAGAGAATTTTCAGGATCCAGGTAAATTATGTGATTACTTCTCAAAGTTTAAGAAAAAACACTTAAGAACATAGAAAAGTTAATTTATGTATCAACTCTTCCTTCTTTCCCAGATGAAGAAATTTCTAGCTTCTCACAAAAAAACGTTTATCGCAGAGAATTACAAATTAAACGGCTATTTAAAAGTAAAGTCACAAACACAAGTGGCGTTCTATTTGACGGTTTGAGCAGACAGCGTTGTTATGAACCCCAAAGTAAATGAACCTGACATGTCCTGCTTTGAGAAGAAGGTGACTGAGCCAGAATCCATCCATGCACTCGGGAGCTCAGGCAGCGGAGACACTACGCAAACATTCCCAGTACAATGTGACAGCTACAACAGCGGCAGCCCGGACCCGAACCAGGGTGGAGAAGGTGACTGACGGCTGTCTGTGGGTGGGGCACCAGCTCCACACTGCAGCAGTCACAAGTGCTATCAGAAGCTCAATGGAATCCTGCTGAAAACAGGGCTACAGACACCCTGATTATATCCAAAGAACTCAACTTGGAGGGGTCCTCTGGGCTTTTCAGCTGATTTGCTCGGAATCAGCAAACACCGCACTGGTGGAGAAGGAATGATGCGATGTACACTCCCAGGCGTTTTCCTCACTATCCCCACGCCTCCCTCAAACCAACAGAACACAAAACGCACTCTTCTGTAAGCAACCAACAGCACCTGCTTGTTAGCTTGGCGCTTTTGTGAATACGTGAGCAAGAACTGCTCCCTGCCAACGACACTCACATTCCGTCATCAATTTTAAAATCCCCAGAGTGTGAGTTCTCTCCAGAAGTTTTCTTTTTCCGGCCTCCACACAACTTGAAGGAATTCCCTAAGTAACTCTAGGCTTGCTGCAGGTTTCTATTCTTTTTTTTTTTTCTGTGAGTGGAGAATTATCACCAAACACAGCATAAGACTGACTCTATTTTAAAAATCTGAAGCATTTATACTTATCGCGGCTCTAAACACCTAAGTTTGTTTTCTTCCTAGCCCAGTGATGGGGGCTTACTTTTCAACTTTCAACGGATAACAACATGAAGACCCAGAAATGTACCCCAAGACACCACCAAAGTGAAAACAGACAAACACAGACGGAAAAAAAACAAAAACAAAACAGAGAAAACCTCACCCAGGTAAGTGAAAGACCAAAGGACACGGTTTGCTCCCCACCAGCGGGCTCCTGCGGCTCGGCTGTTACTATTTGCAGCTGGGCCTGGCTCCTCTCTAAATTTAGCTCCCAGGGCTACTCCGTAATCTGCTCCAGCGAGGGTCAGTCTTTATAAGGCACTCCCTGAGCCCTTTGAAAATCCCTGGCCCAACAGCAGCAAGGGCACTTTGACTAAGAACCTGGCTTCCCCCGCACAGCAAAGAGCAAAGACACCCTTTGCTGAAGCCCACGGCAAAAGCTGACTGTTGTTGCCACTGCATCACAGCTCGTGACTACGAATATTCAAGTTTATAAACCTCAGGGTTGAAGAGAATCCCCAGAGACAAGTGTGCCTGGGCTACGACATACATATGCACCAGGACCGTTCGTGGTCCATATTGAGAAGTGAAAACCGACACACACGGGGAACATAAGCTCGCCACTTGCCATGGGACACTTCTGTCTCTCCTTGCTGATGTCATCACCCAACCTCAGGCCAGACTCCGGGCCTGGGTGAGTCTCACGCCCAAGCCACCTGCAGCAGACCGGCCCTCTGGGTGTGGATGTCCTGCCGGCCATCTTGCTCTCATTCACTCAGTTTTTAGGGGCTGACTGATCAGAGCTGGACTCATCTCCAGGTTGTTCCTACAACAGAACGACTGTTCTCTCGTCATCATCCTGAGGTTTGGTCTTTTTATTTACTTATGAGGGTGAAAGGCAGGGTCACAAACACACACACTGGCAGAGAGAAGAGAGAGATCCAGCTTCCATCCGCTGGTTCACCCCCCACCCAAATGCCTCACAATAGTCAGGACTGGGTCATGTCAAAAACCAGAAGCCAAGAACTCCATCCTGCTCTCCCACATGGGTGGCAGGGACTCAGGTACTTGCTCCTTCCACGGTGCATTGACAGGAAGCTGCATCAGGAAGTAGAGGCAAGACTCAATCCCAGGCATTCCATAATATGGGACACAGGTGCTCCGGCAGCAGCCTCACCCACTGCGCCGAGGCTTGGTGTTATTCTTACCTGGCCCATCTCTGAACTCTGACAACCCATCATGTGTGATACGCTACACACATCACGCGTGAAGTAACTGTGCTCATCATACAACCTCAACTTCACGGACACACATTCTAAAGCAGAGATCACAATGGTTTTCTGTACAGGGATAAAAGGAAACTAACTTGGTCTCTGTGGTCACTGCTCCAGCTGTGCCACTCTGCTGTGACGGTCACAAAGCAGCCACAGACCCATAATCACGGGCTGCTTCCAGTAAAACCTCATTAGCAAAACAAATGTTGGAGCAGACTGGGCCCCCAGTTACAGTTTGGGGTCCCCTTTTCTAGAGTAGTAGATCCAACAGATCTGTGATGTTGGAAACATTTTGATTCTCCCATGACTCGGCAGCTTTTGCCACCGAAGCTACTGAGGCATTGAGCTGTGGCTATTGTGACTGAGGAACTAAATGTTCAGTTTTCTCTCACTTTCATTAAAGTTTAACTTTCAACAGGCCAAGTGGCTAATGGCTACCATGTTGGATAATGCAGTTTCAGAACAATCCTTACAACCTCAATCACTTAAGTTTGATAAACAGGCAAGTATACAAAACATAAGAACTTTTTAATTAATATTTTTAAAACACAGGGCAGTGTTGTATAGTGGGTAAAGCTGTCATCTGCATTGCCCGTCTCCCTTATGGGTGCTACTTCACATCCCAAATGCTCCACTTCCGATCCAGCTCCCTGCTGATGTGCCTGGGAAAGCATCAGAAAATGGCCCAAATGCTTAGGCCTCTGCACCCACGTGGGAGACCTGGAAGAAGCTCCTGGCTCTGGTTCAGCCCAGCCCCAGCCAATGTGGCTATTTGTGGAGTGAACTAGCGGACAGAAGATCTCTCTGTTCCTCCCTCTCTGTAATTCTGCCTTTCAAATAAATAAATCCTGAGACCAGCACTGTGGCACAGAGGGTTAAAGCCCTGGCCTGAAGCACCGGCATCCCATATGGGTACCGATTCTAGTTCCCAGCTGCTCCTCTTCTGATCCAGCTCTCTGCTATGGCCTGGGGAAGCAGCAGAAGATGGCCCAAGTCCTTGGGCCCCTGCACCCACGTAAGAGACTCAGAAGAAGCTCCTGGCTCCTGGCTTCAGATCAGTGCAGCTCCAGCAGTTGCGGCCATCTGGGGAGTGAACCATCGGATAGAAGACCTCTCTCTCTGTGTCTCTACCTGTCTCTGTAACTCTTTCAAATAAATAAAATAAATCTTTAAAGAAAAAAAAATCTCTTTGTCTATCACTTTCTTTCTTAAAAAAATAAATCCAATATACACACAGACACACACTTGTCTCTGGGGATTCTCTTCAATCCTGAGGTTTATAAACTTGAGTATTTGTAGTCATGAACTATGATGCAGCGGCGAGAGCAGTCAGCTTTTGCCCTGGGCCTCAGCAAAGGGTGACTTTGCTCTCATATATATATATATATATATATATATATATATATATATAGACAAAGGGGAGAGACATTAGAGTCTAACATAATAAAAGGTATAGTGTGACAATGTTACCTCCCTTGCATAAAGCGCTTCATAAAGACACATAACACCAATGCTCAAAGCTTATAGTAAAATACAGCAAGTCCAAGAATTCCCCATTATTCCTTATTTTAAAGGAGTGGATTCATTTACTGTAGAGAATAAATTGGAAACATACTCAGCATTACTTATACACTATTCTTTCCATTAAAGCTAAAACTCTTTAGGACAAGCATCATAAAAGCCTTTCCAGAAAGCATTGGCTCTAGGAATTTGGGGAGTTGACAACATTCTCTCCAAAGAAACAAAAATAACTAAACCGGCCATAAAAGTCTGAATGATTAGGAACTACTCCAAGGCAATAAACAAATACATGCCTATAGTGACACTCTGAACTCTGTTGCCTAGAATAACACTTGCTGGTTCAATATCATAACATCTGCTGGTTCAATATCCTTACATCTGCTGGTTCAATATCCTTATCATGATTGCCACTGCCTCTTCAGACTCAAAAATCACTCAGCCGCTACAGCTTA